TTTGAGACTATTGTCATATTGGATGATCTAGAGGGGGAAAAAACTAAAAAAGAAAGGCTTTTAGTGCAACTGCCGTGAATCGAACACGAACCTCCACCTTGGAAGGGTGGAATCCTAACCATTGGACCACAGAAGCTTGAGATCTGATTCGATGAAGCATTTTGGTCGTTTGTTATATATAAAGCACGTTTTTTTTTTACGGGTGGGAGAGGGATAGGCATAAAATCGATCAAATCATTTTTTGAGATGCTTGACTTGCATGGTTCTGGAATTTTTTCATCGTGTTCTGTTCTTGGGTTGGTGGTTCGTACCGTACCTGACGTGCCGCTGTCACGAATACGAAGTTATCGAGGTGCGGAACGGACCGAGAAGGGAAGATGTGAATCATTTCCTCGTAAGAACGTTATTTCAATTATTCAATCCACTATTGCGTTCTAGTAATCAGACAGGCGATGGATATTTGCTGGGATTTGTCTCTTTTTGGCGTTGTTTTTTTATCCACAAACCCAGCATCATGTCGATGCATATCACCACAACGTCTCCCCAGGTCGTCTTCCCATACCATATCAACCGCACTCCTTTGAACACCTATATTCCCCCAAACTAACCAGATAACTACGTACAAATCCCCAGATTCCACCACTACCCCTCGCCATTCCATCACAGCCCAAGCGCAAGCAACGTTCCCAAATCCCATCCGGCTGCAGAATCCCGCTGTACAGGTGCGGCGTGGGAATCCTTCACGTATCTTTAAGGCGTACATGTACTTTCGAGGCGGCGAGAAATGTTCGGACCTTTTTTTCGATTTCCTGGGGGAAGATGCATTGTGTTGTTGGTGACTGGGAGGGGGGAGAAGGGAAGGCGGAGAGGGGAGGGGAGGGGGGTTTTGCGGTGGTGATGAGGGAGGAGTATAGAGTATTGAGGAAATGGATGGATATATCTCGTAAATCTAGAACAGTAGAATACATTGCAAAATATAAGCTTAATCCCAAAAAGTCCTGTTGGAACAAAAGAGCAAAAAAAACACCATTCATGTCGTGTCACCATCCACAACATCCCCCCATCATCATCCGTACACCCAACGGCTTTCTCGCTACGGAACCACCTCCGAACCTCAACATCAGACGAAAACACTCCTCTGCTTACATTGCGTAGCGCAACTCATTTCCCGAATGGCCTATTCATTAACACCGCACTTCCCATCCGCACCTCTCTTACTCTGCACCGGTTTGCCTCTGGTTATGGTTATCACATTTTCGCACGCAAAAATCATCTCACCAGGTCGTCTGACACCCAATGGGTCAACTACTGCGCCGCGTCCTGGCTGCGGGGGAAAAGGGAGGGAGTGTTCACGATGAAGGATATCACATCTTAGCATTTTACGTCAAGAAATATAACTAGGTGTTGGAGGGTGTGGAGACGCTTTGATGGGACTGTAAGTTACTTACCAAGGTACCCCACCTGCACGGCATCCAACTCCCAGCGCAGGAGCAACATCAATACACCTTCTGGGAATTCCCCTGCGTCAGCGATGAGATAAAAGTGCGAGTTTTCACCTTCGATCTTGAAGTCTGCCATTTCGTTTTCATCCCACTTTGCAAAAGCAGATCGGACAGCGGTGAACGATGGCGATGAATGTGCAAGGCAAGACGGCGCTGATCACGGGTGCGGGATCGGGGATCAATTTCACGTTTGCAAAGGTGTTGTTATCCAGGGGTTGTAATGTGGTGATTGCGGATCTGACGTTACGGCCTGAGTCGGAGGAGTTGGTGAGGGAGTATTCTGGGGAAGGCGTGAAAGCTGTGTTTGTTAAGACTGATGTCGCGGATTGGGGAGAGCTTGAACAGGCGTTTGAGGTGACGATTGAGGAGTTTGGTGGTGTTGATATTGTGGTTCCCGGGGCGGGGATTTATGAACCTGTGAGTACGGAAGAGGTGATACAGAGGAATTTGGACTGATTTTTGTAGCCATGGTCGAATTTCTGGAGTCCGCCGGGTTCAGCAGAGTCGAAAGATGATGTGAAGAATTCGAGATATGCGATTATGGATATTAACCTCACGCATCCAATTCGACTTACTCAGTTGGCAATTGCGCACTTCCTGGAGAGAAAGAAGTCTGGGACGGTGGTTCATGTGTCTTCGATTGCTGGACAGACGCCGTTCTTCCCTACACCGTTGTATGTAGCTTCGAAACATGCCATGAACGGGTTCGTCCGATCTTTAGGAAATTTGGAGAAACCACCAGCACACATCCCGAAGATCAGAGTTAATTGTGTTGCGCCGGCTAGGATTCTGACGCCGTTATGGACGGATCATCCTGAGAAGTTGAAGATGGTTGGGAAGGCGGGGAATTGGACGACTCCGGAGGCGGTCGCGCAAGTGATGTTGGATCTGGTCGAGAAGGAGGAGTATGTTGGGGGGTCGATTGTGGAGGTCGGAAAGAATGTGAGGTTGATCTCGACGTTTAATGATGCCGGACCGCAGGGCCATGGGAATGGGTTGACGAGTATTGAGGGGTATGATAGGGATACTTGGGAGAGTATGGAGAAGCAGATGGGGGAGACGAATGGGAATGGGATCAGCAATGGGAATGGAAGTAACAATGGAAATGGTACAAATGGGAGGAACGGAAACGGAGTTTGAGGATAGGTTCTGAGATTTGGAGTCCTAGGGTATTGGAGTGGACGTCCTCGCAGGAGTGATCGCTGAGCCTGTATAGAGGGATTTGAAAATTGCAAACATCCTCAACGATGATTCGGAAGAAATTCAGATGTATATGCGCAAACATTCTGCATGTTTCGGCCTGATGGGAACAAATGACCTGCATTTGGATCGTCGATGATGCTTTTGACGATGATCTCCTTGGTAAGATTTGCAATGCTTTCGAATTATGCAGCAGGGTTGATATACTTGATTGATCAACCGGGAGTCGTGCCCTGGTCAGCACTTGCTGAAGCGCGATAGTTTTCGAGAGGCAACAAACATTCTTTCCAAAGGAAAACCCTACCTAAGTATGCAGGCTGAAAATGTTTTCGCAAAATGCATAAGGCGAATCCCCTAAATGCTTCTGAATAATCTTGCTTTTGTGTCGTCGAAAACATGGCTTTTACTAACAAATCACCTCCTCAACCAACCATGCCATTGTCCAGACCTGCCAATAATCTTTTAGCCGTACCTTGATTTCCTGTTCCAATGTTTCATCAACTTTTAATAGCGAGACACCAGTGCTCTGCGTGGCGAGCAAATCAAGCACTCTGGGCGAGCAAATAAAGGTGGAGCCACATCCATAAGTGGCTTAACTCGTGTGCTGATAAGACCGCCATTTACGGGCCGGTTATCGTTGGTGCAGCGATAGGCGTTCGTTGGTTGACCGGCCGAGATTTGCTTCAGAGCTAGGAAAACGGAAAACCATGGTTTGAATTTCGATGTTTGGCAGAGCTGAGTTGTTGTGGTGTTGTTGATGTTTTGCGGCGGCGATAGAGTGGAGAAGTGGAGCAATCGGATTTCATAGATTTAATTCATCTGTGCGAAAATAAAAACAATCTCAAAAGATCAAGTTGTTTCCCTTTCCGGACATTTCTTCATCTGCTTTCCAGCTTCAACCACTCACTGTCCGTCGGTTCTGCCTCCACCCCTACCTCTCAACACCAACACCCCCTGACCCCCTGCCTCATTACAGTAGGATCCGTTATCATACGTCGACCGTCTTGAGCGACATCATCCTGTTCCATCCTCGATCCACCGTCTTCACTTTCTTTTCGCGCTCGTCACCTCTGTCGCTCACACGAAAACCTCACTCGTTTGCAGGTTCCGGTTCGAGAAGTTTAATTTGGTGCAGGGACATCAAGAAGGATTCCAGGAAGGAGATATCGCAGTCAAACACCACTATCGTTGCTTCCCAAGCCGTCGTTACAAGAGAATAGATTGTTGTCGTCACCCCAACGTAACATTACCACTTTCGCTCGATTCAATCGATCTGTACGCGTTACGAAACGAACTGTCCGAATACAACCATCGAGTACGAATAATCAGTCGTTAATATATCGAAAACATGTTTTCCAGAGCTATTCTGGCAGCGAGCTTGCTTGCAGGTTCTGCTATTAATACCGCCAATGCGCTGCCTACCATTTCTGCGGTAGGATCCAAGTTTTTCGACAGCAATGGATCGCAATTTTTCATGAAGGGTTCGTCACCTGCGAGTAGATTGGATTGAGCTATACTGACTTTTTGCGCAGGTATCGCGTATCAACTTACACCAGCTGATCCTCTCGCCGATACCGAACAATGTCAACGCGATGCGAGCTTGATGAAGACATTGGGCGCCAACACCATCCGAGTTTACCACGTTGAGCCAAATGAGAACCACAGCGGGTGTATGAGTGCTTTTGAGGATGCTGGAATTTATGCGCTCATTGATCTCGACACCTTTACCACCGATATTGATCCTGTAAGTTGGACTCCTTTTACACGTGAAACCTTGCTAATCGGGACATAGCTTGCAGTATCATGGAATCAATCGCAATTCGACGCCTTTGCTCGAGTTATGGATTCATTCGCAGACTACGATAACGTTCTTGGTTTCTTCATTGGTAACGAGGTTATCGCAATGAACAACCAATCTCTCGCCGCTCCATACATCAAGGCTGCCGCTCGCGATATGAAAGAATACAGAGATAGCAAAGGTTACAGAAAGATTCCGATCGGTTATTCAGCTGCTGATATCGCTGAACTCCGACCTATGCTTCAAGATTACCTTGCCTGCGGAACTAACTCTTCCGAGGCCATCGATTTCTTTGGCTTGAATGCATATGAGTGGTGCGGGAGCAACACTATGCAAACATCTGGTTACAACACTCTCAACACTTATGCTGAGAACTTGAACATCCCAATTTTCTTTTCCGAAACTGGTTGCAACACTGCAAGACCTAGAGACTTTGCCGATCAAAGCGCAATTCTGGGCCCAGATATGGATTCTCTTTGGTCTGGCGCTATCATTTATGAGTGGATTGAGGAAGCTAATAATTACGGTCTTATCTCATACGGTACAAGCGTTGCTGCTACTGTCACGGCTACCAATATCGAAGGTGGTTTCACTCGAGGTGGTACCCCAACTCCAGTCTCCCCAGATTTCACCAATCTCCAGAATCAATGGAAAACTCTCAACCCAACTGGTGTCAAGTCTTCCGACTACAAGCCATCAGTCACCCCACCACCATGTCCTGCCTCTACCGCCGGCGGCTGGCTCGTCGATGGTGATGTGAAACTTCCAAGTGTTGGCCAGGTCTTACAAACTGGTTCCGCTTCCACCACCGCACCAGTCGCTGCCGCCAGCAGCACTCCAACCGGAACGGCAGCCAACCCAACCAGCACGAAAGCAGGCGCAAACGGAGGAAAAGAGATTACAGGAATGAGCATCGGACTTGTCGGTGTGATGTTGGGGTTCATGTACTGGCTATAAATAAATACCACGGAATTGTATATATTTCACAGAAGGAGCAGGGATGTTTATAGGCGCTGAACGGCTGTATACGAGTGAGGGTCTGATCAACGAAGCGCGGCGTTATTCATAGGCATTTGGGGTGTTTGTTGTTTTTTAATTATAGGGTAGGAAGCTTACATGGAATACACATCAAGTATATACGTCAGATGAGGGACGCGGAGCTCTTGAAGTGCCCAGGGACATAATTTTGGTAGATGGGGGATTAGGTAGATGGTGAGACGTATATAAGAAATTTATAGATATTAGATATTGTTTCTGAGGTGCCGGAGTTTGAGGGTGATGCTGATAGATATGATAATTTTATTGCTAACATGATGCAGATTGTGATCATCCTTTTCAAACTGAAAATGAATGATAAACCAAGCAAGAATAGCACCCCAGGTAAGGTATCGTCTCTTCGTCTCTAGAGCTCCTTCCTCGTGGGCAAATCGTATGTCTCTATGGTTCGTGATATATCTTCATCTCTTTTGACAAGAAGTCGGGTGAGAAGTCTCTGGCTCCCAGCTTAGTGAGAACTTCACAACGTACTCCTCCAGTTGTCAACTTCGAATAGACATTGCAGTCTGAGATCGAGGCGACTTTATATCTTCGAAGGAAATGATTTATTAGGATATATTATGTGAGTCCCGACCTATAGATATGATGAATAGCTATAGGGTTGTACTGATATTTCGTAGTATATTCAACATTCTTACCTTTTATCACATCTATATAATCTACGTGCAAGATGGAGATCAATAGCATGACCATGGAGCAAAAGCAGGTTAACACCTTTGTGTGTTCTGAAGATCACCAGATGTCCGAAAAGGAGGACAATACTAGCGAGGAGATGGAAGTGAAGGAAATCGAGGAGACTGACATGTTCACCTTCACTTTGGAATCACCAGACCAAGACCCGGTGAGTGTTAAAATGGCAGAAAATTGTCTTTTAGATTCATGACTGAAAGTGGTGTAGGAGCCGCGTACACCACCGAATCGAAGTTCGCATAAGGGTCTTATTTGCAGACCATCGACTGACACAGAGGAGCCGTTTACACCAGAAACTCGACAGCAGAGCAACAACATCGGTTGTAGAGTACCTTTGCCACAACAAAACCCATTTACACCGCCGAATCGACGACGGGGTGATATTGTTGGTTATGAATTAACGATCTCGACACACCAGCCTCGTACACCAGCAAATCGACCGCGCAGTAACATCATCGATCTTAAAGTATCAATCTCAACACAAAACCCAGTCACACCACCAAATCGACTTCCAACCACCACTCTCGCTCCCAATCCGTCAATAACCTCGACTTCGTCGACTTTTGATTTTCACACAGCAGTGCAAATGCAGAGATCGACCAGCTCACAAGCAAGTTACGTTCCGAGTTCTGGTACGGAATCAACGTTGTATCCGAGTCCGGATTACGAGGATACGGAGTTTGATGGGATGGATGAAGATAGGGTAAGGGACTTTCAGGAGGGGGATGGGGAGTATGCCAATGGTTCGTCGACTCAAGGCTCAGAGGATAGGAACCAAGGCTTCGAGAACCAATACAATCAACCACCATATCCAGAAAATCGAAACGAACAACCGCATCACTCCTACCCAGCACATCATCCACATCCGCTCTACCTCCCTGCTCGACCGCCAACCTCACCACCCCGTCTCCCCGCTCACACTCCCCTTTTACGCTCTCTCGACAAGATCTTCTATAATCAGAAATCAGCTCTCGATGGCCATCTCCTCGCCAGCCCACTACTAGTTTCACCCATCAGAACTAATCCTCAAATCCAAGACCAACGAGACGCAGAATACATCAATGCACGTATGGGCTACGTGTTGCTCGCGAGTAGCAGATTGCAAGCAGTCGTAGGCGTGCGGAATGATCTTGTTTTTGAGCTACCTCCTCCAATATCGGGTGGCGTGCTTGGAGATAAGGCAAGAGAAAGAGGGATGGGGGAGGTGGGTAACGAGGTGGACAAGGAGACGGGGAGGGGGTTACGTGAGTATTTTCTGAAAATGGGACAGCGTTACGGTGTGAAGAGGCGGAGATGCGAGGAGCTTGTGTTTAGTGATTTCGCGATGAATCTGAAATCTGGCATTGGAAAAGGCGAGATGATTGCATGTTTTGGAGAGGGATGTAGGATTGAAATCGGGGAGGTAGAATTGTATGTCCCTCTTCTCCCCTTTCTTCCTAAGGTGGAATGCTAACTCAAAACAGACCAACACACAACACAACCACCCCCTGGCTCACCTTCCTCCTCTCCCGTCCCCTCCTCCCCGCCCAATCCACCCCGTCTTCGTTCCCCACCCCCGTCCCAAACTCCTGGATCTTTTTCGCGCTCCCAGCACAATACGCTGAGGCTTCGCCCATCGCAACATCCCAGCAGAATCCGTATACCAAGCATATGCGGCAGGAATACCAACTCTCCCAAAACGGCATACCAATCATAGAGTTCTCCTCTAAACCATCGGAGCTGGTGCACGGATGGAGCAAGTGGGGTGATCGGTATAGAGAGACGATGCGTGGGAGCGAGTTCCGGCGAAGGGGTGAGGAGGGGGCGTGGTTGGGTGTGGAGATGGAGGGGGCAAGGGGCGGGGAGAAAGAGTGGTGGGAGAGGTTTTATAGGGGGGTATTTGAGGATGTTAGGGTTTGGGAGCGGGTTAGGCGGGTTATGTCGCGTGGTGGACTTCGCGTTTCGGTTGCGTGGCGGGAAGTTGAGGATACGGGTTCTGAGGATATAGGGTTTGAGGATGGAAATGTTGGACTGGGGATTTTTAAGGAGGATGGTTCTGGGGTACGGCAGCTTATTTCGAGGGATGATGCGGGGGTGTGGAGGGAGAAGAGGGGGAGAGAGGTTCAGATGCCGATGAGGATTAAGAGACGGCCTGTGGGGGGGAGATTTTGAATTTGAATTTCGAGTTCAGGGGGATGGATAGGGAGTTTAGGGGAGGGTTTGGGGTGAGATTTATATGATGAGGAATCAAATTCATTTAATCTATAAATGAGTTTACTTGTGGTGCGAAGAAAGACTTTTGTGAGGTCTGATTGATACGAGTGTAGGTTAAACATCTTCAGTTCTGAGAAATAACACATCTAAAGTTCCTCTAATATACCCCTATAACCTGAAAATCCCCACCTCCCCTCCAACTACCTCAAGCAAATCAGAAAACCCCCCAATCCTCCACCCAAGACACGCATCTCACCTCGCCACCTCTCAACCGGACGTGAAACAACCTTAGAGTAATAGACAGTATTATAATAAATAACATGAAGAGTGGATTATTTGTGGGTTTGGATTGTGTAGGGGTTTTGGAGTATTAAAATGGGGTTTGCATGATTCGAATCAGGCACTTGTGGGAGGAGAAAAATGAATTGTGGTACCAGTATGGTGAGTGATGCTGTAATCAGTTTGTTTAGGGTTTGGAAATGGAGGTGTAAATACGTGCTTAATATAGAATGTAAATCCGAGTTGCGAGTGCGTCAGGTTAACGTAGCAAGCTTATGTTAATTTGTCAATTGAGAAGTATACCAGTGGCGAACGAAGTAGAAGCGGCAGAGAGAAAGTTTGCAAAATATTTCCTGCTCGTGGTGATTTCGATATGGATCACTCGATATAAAAAGCTCGCGAGGAGTAAATATCTTGCCGTCACGCTCTATCAACAACAAACATCCTTTCGTCTGCTTCAACGATACTCCCGAAATCTTGCTTATGCTTCCCGCACAAAACACTAGAAGAATAGTTGCCCGCTGGTCGCCAAAGCGTATTCCTCGATAATGTTGCGCCTTCCTTCCCACGCTGTCTTTCCTTTCGCTCCTTCCCCGGAACTTTACATATCCCTAACTAGATCGACCTTCATGCTCCTCACTGTCTTCATTCCAAAACATCGCGTTGCGTTGAACATCATTAAACATTGAACAGCAATCATTCGCACTCTTAAAGTTACCATTCTTACGCTTGTCAAGCTCTTTCTGACCACCCTTCGATTCGCATTTGGCTCCGTCAAACCGTCCGTCGTTGAAGAGTACAACTTCGTTCTAGTCTTGAATTCCATCTCCAGATGATTACTCGAGAGCCAATTCCATGCTCGTAGCCGACTGAGGCTATCGATCTCTTGTCATCTAGAAGCGACATCAAAAAGCGATTCGTCGAGAGTCGACACTCTTCCTCCTATCCGAGTGAAACGATCGAAAGCGGTCCCATCAAGAAGCGTCTTTTCGTCCTGTCTATCCGGATCACAGAGGCGACTTACTGTTTGCCTCGGGTTAAAGAACGCAATATGCCATCATACGAGAATGACACGGCTGAGAAGGTCAAGACACGGGTCATGGTCCTATCAGATACTAATGGTGGTACACGCGCAGATGCTGGAGGTTTCTGGGACGGCAATTTCCATATGTTTGACGCACCACCTCGAGACATCGACTTACTCATACATTGTGGAAACTTTGGAAACGGTGAACCAGAAGACATGAAAGCAACACTCCAAGCAATCTCCCAACTACCGGGACGAATGAAGCTGATTATCCCAGGAAGCGACGATGTGCCGATCGAAAGCAGCTTTGGTAGACCGATAGATCCATTCAACACTTTTGCCGAGGCGTTGAAATTGGAGGATAAACAAAAATCGAGAGGAGGAGACATAGTAGCGAACGATAAACCTGATGGACCCGATGACCTCGTCTTTTTGGACGAAGGGATGCATACGGTTAAACTACGTAATGGAGCGATATTGAGCGTATACGCCTCTCCATATTCACTCGGCGAAGACAGGTTGAAGCCCTTCACGTATAGTAGTGATGTTGATCGGTTCAACCTGGGGAAAGATATTCCTTGGGGTAAATGGCATTCTGGGGAGGCCATGGCAATTCCCACGTCGCCCCTCGTCGATATACTTGTGACGCGCGGCCCGCCTTTCGGATTGTTCGATCCTGTGAGGCAACGTGGAGTAGACAAAGGATGTAAATCTCTCGAAATAGCTGTTAGCAGAGCGAGACCCCTACTTCACTGTTTTGGTGATAAACATGATGCAGTTGGCACTTGGCAGATTTTCTGGAGCGAGGACCACAGGGCGAGAGGATTCGAGTCTTGTAGTAAGATGTTAAAACTCGGGAACAAATATCCTGCAGAGACCTCTCAGTACCTAAATGTACCACTGAAGGGGAAGGGAATCAGCACTGTCTTAGTGAACGGCACTATACGCCGTCCTGGGAGCCGAAACAGTCAACGGACTCACCGACCCTGGATATCCGACTTTTTCTTCGAGAAGGATCTCAGTCGTCATGGATGAGATGCATTCTGAGTGGGTACGAACGGCTTCCGGTATTATTCGTGGTCTTGGCGCAAAGAAATTGTTTAGTTTGAAGTCAGAGCATGATTCAAAAGGATATCAATTGCAGGAGCGGCAATGTGACTGCTCTGCGTATCAGCGTTTCTGGTGGTCATAATTAAGACTAGTCCTTGAAAGACAAAACGTACCTTTCAATAGTTCCTGATGACCAGAGTGATCTGAGTACTTAATCACTGCACCGTGGACCGTCGGAGCTGTGACAGTCCCTTCGGCAGCTATTTGATTGCCTTCCAGTAGCCACATTACGTGCCCCATGAGAAATGTAGGTCAAGGGGCTAGTGGTATTACCAGACGTGACGTCGCAAGCAAGCCTTGTTCCAAGCACTTGACGAGATTTTGCGCGTTTCATCAGCAGACACATCCAAAATCCCCCTTCAGAACACCATCACTATGGCCTCGTCAATCTGCCGTCCCCTCAGCCCTTCTTAACCTCCCCCATCCAAACCCTCATCGCCTTCGAGCTATCATGCTGAGCCCTAAACAATCCTCGTTCCCCCTCATCCAACCCCCTCAAAAACTCCACTCCATCCCCAGCGCCAACACCTCCACCGCCTCTCTGTCCCTGTCCAGCATTACTAGCATGATCACTAATCTCAGCAGCCCTCACCCGCCAACTCTCCATCAAAACATCACACACCTCCTCCTCCTCAAACAACTCCAGAATCCTCGCCCCAAGCCCATAAAAGTGCTGTGCCAACGCACGTATATCGACGGATTTCGGATCGGCTTTCAAAGCGTTCATGACGCGCGGGGCGAGCGAGGGCGGGAGATCGAGCGTTACGAGGGTTTTGGAGGAGGCGCCGGATACGGCGAGCATTTCTGCGAGCCAGAGAGGGAGGTCGACGCGTGTAGAGGACTTGAGCGTGTGGCCTGGGTTGTTGTCGAGGTAGCCTAGGGAGGGGACGTCGAGTTCGAAGGTGCATGGGACTTTCTGTGTTTTGTTAGTTGGGAGGGGGTGGATGGAGGGGTAGAATGTACTTGGGCGTCTGTTAGGATGGAATCTATGTCATAGTAGGACATTTTTGCAATTGTGTTTGCGACAAGAGAGTGGTATGGTTCTATGCCAGTTTATTATGCGTCAATCATGAAGTTGAGAATAGAATTGTTGTTGTGAGATTGAATGCGACGCGATTGATATCGCGGTCCCTGCCGTCCGGCCTCCACAATTGTCCGGGGTCGTCAATCCTCGGCAGAAGTGACGTTTTGGCGAACCCTCCAGAATTACGTCTGAGCTTTAATTGATCCGCATGTCACCAACTCTCTTCAATCAATTCAAAGAAACGTCACAGATCCATCGATTGAATAAGCAATTATGTCTGCAACACTATTCCGCACAAGCACCGCCGCTCGCTCGGCCTTGAAGGCTGGAGCTGCAAAGAGAGCGGCTTCTGTAGCTACCACGAGCTTCGTCCGTGGAAAAGCTACTCTACCAGACTTGCCATGTAAGCAATTCTTCTTCTTTCAATTCAAATGGAAGGCTAAGCGGAGGTATAGATGATTATGGGGCGCTAGAGCCAGCCATCTCTGGCAAGATCATGGAATTGCACCACAAGAACCATCACCAAACATATGTCAACAGCTACAACGCTGCGTCGGAACAGATCGCTGCAGCGGAACAAAAGGGAGATATTCAGGCTGCTATTGCGTTGCAACCTGTGATTAATTTCCATGGTGGTGGACATATCAATCATACTCTTTTCTGGGAGAACTTGGCTCCGAGCAAGAATGGTGGTGGTGGTGAGCCAACTGGGAATGTGAAGGTATGTCAATAATCGGCTTCTAGTGAGCCTCATTCGGCATTGCAAGAAAAGAAATTAGAAAGAAAATCAGTCGTTAATGAGTAAATCTTTAGTCTGCCATCGAGTCAAGCTACGGCGACTTCTCCAACTTCAAGACCAAATTCAACGCCGCGCTCGCGGGTATCCAAGGCAGCGGATGGGCATGGTTGGTCAAGAACAACGAGACAGGCCATGTCGAGATCCGAACATATGCCAACCAAGACCCAGTTGTGGGCAAGTACACACCGTTGTTGGGTATTGATGCTTGGGAGCATGCATACTATTTGCAATATCAGAACAGAAAGGCGGAATACTTTGGGGCTGTTTGGGATGTGGTTAACTGGAAGGCGGTTGAGGGAAGATTGAAGTAGATTGTGTGATGAGTTAGGGGTGTATGATACCAGGAAAGAATGAGATAGCGAAGTTCCTTTACATTTGTTGCAGCAAGTGGAATGAGATATACAAATTTGATTTATTAGTAATGTGCTATAATATATCGCTAACAATATCATCCTCCGTCCAGCGAGGAAAGCAAACGCTAAAGCATGGGTATATAAAAGCAAGAGCAAGTGCAAAAGCAAAAAACAACAAAACATGTCATGTATAATCCAGCCCAAGCCTCCCCCATCAACGCCATCATCGTCATCAACAACATCATCAAGATTGTTGCATCCCCGAACTCCACATCCTCCACATCCGCGCCTCATAAGGCAATCATCGACATGGCGACCTCTAATAAACTTTTTCGCCCCTCCACATGCCCGATACATTGGTACTCCGGAGCATGCTCCTAACAAATCGGAAAACTCGTTTGCACGTGATCCCGTTTCGTCCATGTGATTGCCACACTGGGCTCATGAGACATCCGTCCGAAATCGATGGAGTGTTTCTGATTCAGCTTGCGACATGCCTCATGAAATGTTCCTGTGATTTTGGGAGGAATTGTGTCGTACGGCCGGTGGTATGGTCATTTGGAAGGGGCTTCGCGTCGTTTCCCCAACGGTGTGATCTTGCGACTCAAACCATATGCTCACTTCTTGGATTGTCTGCTTCGTCCTCTTCCGCATTTTTGCTGTATTGCGTCAGTCCAAATTCCCAAAAATATCATATTAGGATAGATAGATAACTCACTTTTTCCTCGCGGCGCTCAGCGCTCATGCGGTTTTCCTCGTATAACATATTCAAAGGCTTGCCGTCGAACATTAAATCCGCGTCGTCGATGCTGTAGGGCATTTGCCATGATCCACCGCTCATGTCGGATTCTTTTTGGGTGATGTATGAGGTGCTGTCGTTGGAGTAGTAGGATGGTTGGTAGGTATCTTGGTAGTATTGTTGGGAGGAGGTGGTTGAGGATTGGGAAGACATTTTGAATGTTGTACAGATGTATATTTCTCTCTCGGTGGGTGTTGGAAATTGAGATGTATTTTAAAAAAGTAAAAGAGCCTCCGAAGAATGTGGGTTGTCCAAGATTGATATATCTATCCTCTTTCCGTATGCGGTGAGATGTTGAGTAAGTGTGGTTCACGAGTTGAGATCGGGTGCGGGTCTGACTCGCTTACTCGCAGACCGAGTGACAACGGAACTATTTTTAAAGGATATAGTGTTTCTCGGCGACGTCTCGAGAGGGTGGGATGTGGTACGCTTTGCTAGTACTTTCGATAGCAAACAATAGATAGGTAACAGGCGTTTCGTTTAGCAGGAAAGGTAAAGGAGGTTTATATCCTCAGGTGGACACAGGACCGTCTTATATCTTTTTGGACTCAATGTACACAGATCCTGTTACTCACCGCGAACCCCGGTAAAAGAAATATTTCAGGGTGTCGCCATGCGTGAGGGTTTGGTAACGCCGGATGATCTGAGTCAGGCTGCTGGGCGATTGAACGCTTTACGGGCTCGGTAGGTGGACGATTGGCCGGATACTAAGCCCTGCCACCAAACTCAACTATCAAAGTTGATGGATTTTGTCTTCCGTCACCGGCAATAGTCGGTGCGGAACCCTGTGTGATGTTCTTTGGTTCGTGGAGACGATGGTCATGGTTTCTTGGTTTTACGTGCCGTGGAGATATATCGTGCTTTGATAGATGGGGTAGCGACCGTGATTACCTCCGAGATACTTGTATCATGCAATTAGGACTTAAAGATGGTGATGTAAGTGCCTGAAATGGAAGCTCAAATGTGAAAAAGGGGACCCCTTCCTCGGCTTGCATGACATCAAGACAATGAATATCTTGCCGCATGCGAACGACATTTCATGTCCAACAAAGCATCAATAATGTTAATATCTCACGATAAATTCGTTTTCGGTCATTTCCATCTCGGTGCTTACTTACATCATTACTACACACAAAACACGAGATTACCCCGGACTTTTTGCTCAGGATGCTATTCTCACATGCTTACATATTCATTTAGGGTGACATATCATTCTGCCTGCAGATACATTAATAGGCTTGGAATATCAAAATCCTTCCCAAAAAGGTAGTTACAATCCCATTCGCACCGGTCGACACTCGGGAACCACGGCGACGATACCATCTTGTCATCGCAAATCTGTACAGATCTAAGACAAAACCTCACGATCCGAAAGTTCCACAACAGGAAAGATTGTCATGAATTCGTTGCACCGAACAATCTGTCCTCCGATTTAGGAGCCTTCAAACCTGTTTATGAGGCTTTTCGCGCTCGGTAAGTTCCTCGCTCAAGCATCTATCCAGCCTTGAATATCTTGTGTAACGAATGCTGGTTTGGGCGGTACACGGAATACTTACCGCAGAAGGGCGGGAGGGGCGTGTGACATTTCTTTTTGCGAGCCAGAATATGCATATGTGCAACTTTTGAGGCTATTCTTGAGCTTGCAAGCTCGCGATATTTTTCTCCAGCGGGTCGCTCGGCTGTCCTGAGCTCGGGTGACTCCAAGTGTGTGTGTCGTGAGTGATAAGCCGCATCAGATGGCCATGAGCTGGCAATATCGAAATGGGCTATTCTGGTGGCCGTCCGGATCTGGACCGAGTGAGATATATTGCCTGTTTATTAGTTTCCAGGTGGCATGTTGCGCAAATCTGGGGGCCGTGGAGGGGTCGATGGCGGGGTACTTGATGTACATTTCTTCCGCCTGGATGGTGGAATGGGGCTGAAAAGGTTAGTTGTCGGATGAACTATTTGTTTGTTTTGTATTGAAGAAAAATGGGCCGCCTGTTTTTAGGCTGCCTCAGAAGCCTTCCTTTTGTCGTTTGCCCTTTTTAGTCGTACGGTTTGTGAGGCTATTTGTGTATTGGTTGCCTCGTTTCTATCTTAAAGCAGATGCTCGCCCCACAGAGTAGTATTGCCAAAAGCCTGGAACGCCCCTTTTCTATAGGCTTATGCTCAGCTTGCCTCTGGAGTGGCGCGATCGTATCGCCATCTAATCGTCTCGACCTCACTCGCAATCTATGCATCTTCTTCTCATTCGAAGCCTCGCTTAAGGTTAATACTACCTAGGTATCCTTTTCTCATACCCCAAACGAATCCATCAGCAAAACCACTTCACTCTTCACGTATTAAATATTCGATTAGGCTTACACATGTTGAGAGCACAATGCTTCACTTTGCTTCAACAATTTACAACCCAATTCGGAAATTTGCTTCCGTGATTGAATAGTCTGCCGCTCAACAGCAAAGGACATTGTTCAAAATAATGGGTTTGGCCATCAAGTCGGAATTCCACTCAGGCCTGCACATGGACAACAAGGAGCGAGATTCCAGAAAACCAATGCTCGTGGAATTCTACCCCACGAAATCCACAAGAAGCAAATGCCGGAATTTTCCTATGCTTTTGTTTTTCGTTTTGAGACAAAATTGGGTTGAATAATCTTCTAGGTATGTTCGAAGCCGTGGCTTCCTACGAACAAATCGTGAGAAGCCATAATGTAACCATACCTCAGGATCCGATGATCGGATATCACATAGGAAGATACATAATAGTTCACGATACGATCCTCAGTAGGTCTCGAAATACATTGCGGTCGTAGTGTTTGGAATCAGTGGGAAGAGCCGAGGTGGGAAGGTGCTAAAGTGGGAATACCCCGCTACCAACTACATCATACTTATCAGGGATCCCAAATCATATCCTTTGTCTGTATTCTTTCCCTGGAATAGTTTCTTCCTCTCTCCAACTCTCAATCTCATCAGAAAAAATTCTTTTCAATTCTAAGGTACAAAAAGAATAATAATCAAACACAATGGCACCAAAAGTTCTCTTCGTCCTTACATCCCATAACAAAATGGGAGATACTGGCAACCCCACTGGTTGGTATCTTGTAAGTCCTCTCACAGTTTATTCCCAAGATATAATGCTCACTAATTTCTCTTTGACAGCCTGAGTTCGCACACCCATATGAAGAGCTCAAAGACCATGCCGAAATTACAATTGCATCCCCCAAGGGAGGAGCTGCACCACTCGACCCCTCAAGCGTAGAGGCTTCCAAAGACGACAAGGTCTCCACACAATTCTTGAAAGAAAAGGAGAGCTTGTGGAAGAACACCGAGAAGCTGAGCGACTTCTTGGGCAAGGCCAAAGAATTCGAGGCTATCTTCTTCGTGGGAGGTCATGGTCGTAAGTTGCACAACCCGGAGATCGTCCAAGTGACATGACCTGATGATGTGCAACAATAGCAATGTTCGACCTCGCAACAGACGAGACATCGCACAAATTGATCAACGAGTTCTACTCCAACAACAAGGTCGTCGCCGCAGTCTGCCACGGTCCCGCAGCACTCACCCACGTCAAGATCCCAGGTGGTGGGTACCTCCTCGACGGACAAGCCGTTACTGGATTTTCGAACTCCGAGGAAGACGCGGTGGGCTTGACTTCTGCTATGCCATTCAAGTTAGAAGACAAGCTGAATGAGGCCACGGGTGGAAAGTACGAGAAGGCGGCTCAGGATTGGGGTGCTAAGGTTGTGGTTGCTAGAGATGGGAAGTTGATCACTGGCCAGAATCCTGCTAGTGCTGGACCGGTTGGACAGGCTATTCTGAAGGCGATTTCCTAGGTTGGGAAGTCAAAGTCTTGTGTATGATATGTATAATAAATCGTAAGACAAAATCGAGAATCTTGAGAACGAAGTTTAAAAAAAAGGTCAGAATATCGGGCCGCGGTGTCTGTGAAAACTCTCCTTTTACCTCTTATCGGAAATTCCTACTCTATCTCTACGCATGCGTACTAAACTTCCTTTTACGTCGCCTTAGCCTAATCTCTACCCAAAAACTATAAACTTGTATCCTTAGCTGTACCATCGTGATTTATATTGTAGTAACGATCTTACTTATCCCTCTAGGAAGAATAAATGAAATTTGGCTAATATTAATTGTATTAGAGACTACGGAATTAAGAATTATTGTGTTTAACGTTATTTAGCCTTAGGTGCCGGAAAAGGTAATTTAGTACGTCCTCGAGGACTCTATCTGTTAAGCCCTCTTCTTATCTACAGATCTATCTCTTTCTCTCTTGGCGATGTTCAAGTAAATTCATTACTAGACAACATCTTATTATTATGCAACATATTTCTATTGAATTAGCATCTGCTTCCACCAATATTAAGCTATATTTTTCGAGAGACTTTAAGCTATTTTTGCAAAAGACTGTGGTAGGCCAAAACCGAAGGTCATGTGATTTTGATTCAATGTAAATTTTCGAAAGATATATAGTAGTAACATTGATTTTGCTTATGAGATTTTGCTTTTCCACATTATCGTTACATATTATCCGAAGCTATTTCTCCCCGGCCTTCGTAGTACTCCCTCGTTAATTCGTCAATGATTATTATTAACATGTGTAGAGCTTGACCGCCTATTATGACCTGAATACTGCCATTTTCTAGCTTAATCAAGAAGAATAACCTAATCGGCTGTTGCAGCCCCCCGTCAAAGCTTCTGATATGGAATTACGATATCTCTTTGTAGTCCTGCAATCGGCACGAACCTCAAAATTGATCGTGCTTCTAGAGGGCACATCAATGAGACGACTTCTATTTTTAGACAAACTCGGGTTATCATTCAATGTTTGTGTTTCGGAAACGGCTGTTGCAGTCGGCAGCATCACAATTCACAAACAATCAGCAATTTGTCTGTCCATATTGACGCTCATGGAAGAAGAACACCTTGCACTACCTGGCCTCTACACAGGTTCCTGTTTCCTGACTGTAAGGAGTGCCAGAATCAAAAAGAAATACTATGTTGTTACATATTCATCTAATATCACAAGCTTTTCATAGATATAATTTGCATCCCGGCGGTCCTTCATTTGCCCATGCTTACAGAATAAAGCAGAGCGTCTTGGACAAGCGTCTCACCCTCCAGCCTTAGATTTATGAAATCTCTCCGTGCATAGCATGGATTCCTTTCTCTTCGTCAAGCTTTCTTTATTCTCGAATCAAACCGGTTTGATGCATTGAAACTCCCCGCCTTTCTTTCGACCTCTAAATTGGAAGGTTCAGTTTGAGAAGGTCTAAGTTCTCTTTGTTTGGTAGTCATTACATCCAGTAGTTCGATCTATAAATGCCAGATCAAATGGCATTTGACTTCCCATTGCGAATATCGACTCTAGTCCACAATACATCATCCGTTTTCTGTCCCTCTCGAAGCGACAGCATTTGAATATATCAAAACCGACGTCTCGCTACTCAGCCCAGCTTACCCGGCGTAATGGACCCTCATCAAAAGAAAACTCCTGAAAAGCCTACAGTGTGCCCGCATTGTCAAGAGGACCACCCACTATCACGCAGCGGTCGTGTCACCAAACATCCAATGTACATTCCCGGAAATTGTCTCCATTGTCAAGAAAGCCACGAACCATCGCAGGCTTATTGCCATTATTGCAGGGGATATACTTTACCTACCATGACACATCGCAAAAAAGGAAGGAGCATTCCCATCCAGAGGAACATTTTCGAAATTCACCCATCCAGTTCCTACGAGGTCAAATGCACCCCAATGAGAAGCGCAGCCATGGCCATCGAGAAGGACCTATACGTGGCGGTTTTTGGCTATAAGTTCCTCGAGGATGACATTCTAAATACTGTCGTCTTTGCACATCAGCCGGGCGGAGAGGAGGAAGAGAGAATCCATCTGTCGATGCGCAAGGCAGAGCGTAGCCCTACAATTTGTCAAACCAAAGCAAAGCCGAGATTGTGGAGCCGACTAAGAAAGGAGGATTGGGAGCAGTTCATCGATATTGTGAAAGAAAGTAAGTAAGCTCGTGGGAGAGACTAGATAAATAAGCTGACGTAAAACAACAGTACCCAAGGGATTTCCAGCACCAAATTTCAAAAATTAAATACGCATCGCTCAGTCTCCCAAGATTACAGCCCAGAGCCATTGTCAGACGGAAAAGAGAAAACACAAAAAAAAGAGATTAGCCTCCAATAAGCAACGACAAAACAAACTGCCCTTTCCCCCATTTTTCAAAATATCAAATTGTTCCAGACAGACTTTAAACTTTTTTCCCCATTGTCGCGCCTTCTGCTCCTTTGACTTCGGTACTTATTTCTTTGAACCATCTTAGAAACCCCCGGTCCTCTTTGTCGAATTGATTCGGCCCATATTTTTCATCGTCGAATTCTGAATCCTCAGAATCGGCGTCAAAAACATCGGCATGTCCTTGGTCTTCCCACCCTAGTGCATCGTCCTTAATAGATCCATCGTATGGTTGACAAGAACAAAATGGTTTACGATGCCAACTGTTTGCCTCATCTAGTCCATGTTTACACATAGTATGATCGCCACCTGACCTCCACGTCTTTATGACTTTCTTAACGGGTCCCGAGAGTTGCTTAAACTTCTCAGTTTCGATTTCGGTGAAGTAATCATCACTGAACTTGTCTTTCATAGCTTCTGCCCACCAAGGATAGAAACCAGCTGTTTCCCAGTCGATAATCCCAGTGACCTTCCACTTTTTCTCCTCGTTCTCGTTTGAAACGAAGATATTTTCGAAATGTAGATCGCAGTGGGTTAAGACGTACGGCCCACCCTTAGGGAAACTTGCCTTGAGCTTAGCTATCTGCTCATCCGCCTCTTTGACCCAAGAGTTGAGAGTTTCTTTGTCCTTAGTCCGACCGTCATCCCTTATATACCTGTCATAAAGTATACCCTTTCTCATGGCTGGAGTTAAGTTCTCTAGCCATTCTTCCTCATTGATCCCAGTCTTGATACAGCCACCTTTCCTACAACACCCGATCAAGCCATCGAGCAACTCTGAGCCATCTACACTACCCATTTGAGGGCTTGTGATTTGACGCCACTGTTTCATATGCTTGTCTAGGTCTTCGAATAACTCATCGGTTTCCTCCACAGAGATGTTCTGAAATACGCTTTCCATTGGAACGCCTTTCACGCGAGCCACTATCTCGAATGTGAACTTGTTGTCTGGACCTTCGATTTTGAATGATTCCGGAACCGGGACATTTGGTTGCTTCTCTCGTATGAATTTTCGTACAGTATAATCCTTCGCGAAAGGATGTAGGTTAGGCTCGTTTGGGTAATCTTTCATTAACCATGGTCCGCCCCTGCCAAGTTCCCAGATGGCCGAGTTTTTGCGGCAATACATCACTTTCAGACGTGATGTATAATTGCCCTTGCTCTCGTGTTCATCATTCCAGTCACAGTTGCGACACAAAACTTCCTTTGATTTGTGGGTACATTGCTGGTCGGAATCATTTTGCGGTTCATAGACCGTAACACCATGGACTTTGTGAACGAGATCACTAGCCTCTATTCCAGGATGAACTACAAAAGTTAGTTAACTCCGAATGATTAGATTGCAGGTCGCATATCCTCACAAGTATTGTCTAAGGCCCTCCTGTCCCGGATAACATTCTTCGGAAGTTTAGCGTTTTCCATTTCGATATAGCGATTCGAACTCTGAGGCTAAAGTAAAAGAAAGACAGTATGTTGGATTCGAAGTCGAGGGTCAAGTTGGAGGCTATATACAAAGACCAAAAGAGACAAAGGAAATATGCACTCTGGTTAAGAGGAAAGAATGCCCCGGACACTAGCTTCTCAAAGGATCTTCCGGAAGTAACATGGCTAAGCGAGGTTGTGCTAAATGCATGCTACTTGCTACTGACTACCACAAGTCGTCGGTAGTTTATTGTGATGCTAGAATCGAGATGTCTAATAAGTCAATCCAATAGGGTTCAAGGATTGAAAAAAGACTTGATAGACTTTACAGTCCGACTGCGTACATTGGTTACCAGGGCGATTCCTATGCTTTACCTCGCGAAGGACAAGATGTCAATAAATTGTCAATCGCCTGCCTAATGATCGTTAACCAGAATACGTTAGCTTGGAAAAGAGCTTAAGAATATGTTATGATTAGAATAATTGACAGAATATGTCATAGTGCACCAATTTAATTCACTAAATATACGACATTTAGTCAATTGCTGTCAGTGTTTGGACAGCCAATTATTTTATCCTCCGTGAGTACATAGGTAAAGATATATATTGGCATGCTTAGTAAGCATTCATGAAAAGTAGTTTTTGTTGGCACCGCTTCAGATACAAAATCATATCAGCTGAGAGCTGCAGCTGCATGGCGTCGTCAAGCAAACCTACCTGCTGTCAGCCTTTGAAACGCAATCTTGTCAACATGCCGCCTGTCTGTCGTAACCATTAACAAATCATGCTCCTGGCTTCCAAAACATGAGCGACACTGATGGAATTATGGAATGCGCGCTAGGTGCTGCAAGGTTTTGGATAGCAGCCCGCGAACGAGTGGATGCCATTGATGCTGTACCTCAGGCCAAAGCCTTGACTGTTGGGCTGAAGAATGGATGGGACTGCCACTTGGAACCATATACATATCAACCGCTTCTTGAACCCGACGGGATCCGAGTTCTCCGCATTTTCCCCTGGAAGGAACGATTACAGACGATAGATGGACTTTACATGCCTCGATGTGAGCTCATCCACCTCAATTTGAATTCATCTCCCGAATATGCAACTATATCTTACGCTTGGGGAAGCCTTCTCGAGAATAGTCCAGTGCTCCTTCATGGACAGAATTTCCTCACAGTTACCAACTCCTTATTCGAAGTGATATGCTGGACGAGTATCGATACCGAGGAGCCTCTTTATTTCTGGGCAGATCAAATCTGTATCAACCAACATGATCTCGTCGAACGAAGTAAGCAAGTAAACATGATGGGCAGGATATACAAACAAGCCACATTGACTTTCGTGTGGCTTGGAAAGAGCGGTGACACGGATGAAGTCGCTTTCGATCTGATTAAAAAGCTGTCGCTTGACGATCTGCCATTGGTAAAGGCGTACGACACGTTTCTTTTCAAAAACGTAGTGCGGCTCCAAAGCATTCTCGAGCCTTACGGTATTGGTTGCAATGGAAGCGAGCCTGGATGGATTGCCATCAAAGATCTCTCTTTACGACCGTGGTTCACACGGCTCTGGACTTTCAAGAGTTTGTAGTGTCGAAAAATGTCACCTTCGTATGCGGTAGTCGCCAGACTTCATCTCCGGGCTTACTTCGAGCATTCTATGCTGCGCAGGTGCTACTGAAGACTTCAACTAGTGGCATATACAACACTCACCTACTGCACAGACAGAGAAATAGATATCTGACAACTTCTTCCACCAAACTACTTGATTTGCTCTGGGAAATCTCGGACAGCGACTATCAATGCAAAGATCAACGCGATCGGGTGTTTTCTGTATTGAGTCTAGCTGGGTCTGACAAATCCTCTACTATTAATGTCGACTATAGCTTATCCGTAGCGAAAGTTTATCTATCGGTTGCAAGAGAGATAATTAAAAGTACGGCAAGTCTAAAAATTCTCACACGAAGACGCTGTGGCGAGTTAGAGGACCTTCCGTCATGGGCACCGAATTGGAGCTTTGGAATATCTTCTCAAATGGCTCTTGATACTGGAAATTTATCCTTTTCAAGTTCTGGGGGGTTTCAGCATATCTATAAAGAGTCAGAGGAGCATATTCTTATCTTCAAAGGCAAAATTATATCCACAATTGCCAAAGTTGCGTCGCATAACTTTACAGAACATGGGGACGAATATGATAGTAAAGACCTCGAGCATTTTCTTGGATTCAAAACCCTGGTACCTCAAATCCTCGAGGAGCTGGAAGGGTGGCCGCACGTCGATGGCTCGTTCAAACGGAGGACATGGGGGTACTGGAACTGGCTTTTGGGGATGAATTTTTCTGCTGGAAATTTCGGAAATCGCACTGATGCCTATGAGAATGGACTTGATGTCGCTGATTTCATGACCAACCCCCGAAACCGTTACGAGAGAGATTTGCGGAAGTGCTTTGGAAGGAAAATCGCGATTCTAGACACGTATGGTTATCCGCTGGGTCTTGTTCCAGACTATGCTCGTGCAGGTGATAATGTCTGTATATTAAACGGCTCGACAACTCCTCTAGTGCTCCGAAAAAATGGACAGTCGTTTGAGGTCATCGGGGAATGCTACGTAAATGGAATTATGTATGGAGAGGCTGTGGACTGGAGTCAAGAAGGAGGTGAAACTTTTGTTATCAAATGAAGGAGGTAGCCGTTAACTCACAGTCGCTTTCCAATAAAGCGAAGTCGTCACATAGTACCAATACTGTAAGAAGTTGTACTGTGGCTACCTTGACTCGACAGTGTTCGAGACTCGATTTCTTCAACCCACCGAGCACCATTATCTCCACATCACACATCAGCAGACAAAGCACAAACCCTCATCTGAAAACAAAACTCAAGCCAGATACATCACAGTCTGTACGACGAGAAATAACGAGAAGGGTGTGGGGGGTGATCTGTAACGAGTAACCCCTACACCGCTTATTACTGTCCATTAACCTATATCTTATTACTTATTTCGTAGGCATGCAACATGATCTTTTTTTTTCATAGTATGTATCAATACCAACAATACTTCAACCCACTTCCCGCACCCAATGTCCCTCCCGAACATCCCCTGCCTTACAAACCCCTCCCACAACTACACCATCCACCGCTTCCACCCACCTTCCTCAAAGAAACCACCTCTCACACTCTCCATCCCACTATGTCACCTCCAACCCCCTCACCGCTTTCATGTCCCATCTAAGAACTATCCTCTACGTATCCAAATGGAAGGTCCCCTCATAGCAATACAGCGTCTCCTTCCAAAAGTCTCATGGCATATCGAAAACTATGACGTCCCTTTTCCACTATCAGGCGGTCATGAGCTGGCAAAACTAGCCTTCCGAGAGATATATCAGCGTGATGTACGAGCAGATATTGTTGGGGGTATGATTGTAAGAGATGAATACACGGGGTGGTTAGTTGAAGCTCGTCCAGATATGTATGTAACACCTGAGATTCCCTGCTTATCTTCAAGAGCCGAGAGCCTAAACCAAGACTCCTTTGACTTTAGTATGATCGACTACTACGGCATAACATTCGATCATCTCGTCCCGCCCGGCGACCCCGATCCAGAAGTCCTACAACTCAATACTTTTGAGATAGAAGATGATGGAGGCATATACGCCAACACCTACAGCCGATTGAAAATTGATCCTCCGGATTACATTGGGAAGAAAGTGCTTGCGCTGCCGAGGTGTTGTCAAACGAGGAATGGAACGACGGATCGGAGGCGAGTTAATGAGGGGGTGATGAGAAGGGATGGGATTGAAATAGAGGAAGAGGCAAAAATAGAGGTGCGAGGGTGAAGAGGTTGAGGTGGTGTATGGACTTCAGAAAGTAAAAGAGGTTATTTAAAATCTCGTTCTCATCCCTCAGTTCTACTAATAGTCCCTTCTTTCATAAAACACCAATTCCTTCATATCCCCTCTTCCCTCCCTCTTCTCACCCACCCATCCAGCTACCTCCTCCATCCATCGGAGTCCAACCCCGATATTAAACCACTACCCTATAACCAATCACGTCAATGCTCTGAAAAGATAATCATTACCCTATAGTTCTACTTCTTCTCAACCATCAATTCACATTACCCTATAACTATCTTTCATCATTCTTAACACGATTACGCTCTTAGCAAGCTTTTTCCGACTAAGGAACTAGTGACGACAGAGGGCTCGCTTAGCACCTAACGATTAATGGACCTAACGGATCGTAGTATAGTGTAAAAAGGAGCCTAGTACGGATAGTCCGTCTTTTTAGGTCTTTTGCTAACTAATGCACGACAAAGCAAATTTCAACTTTTACAATTATTTTGAGATTTCTTTAAATAATACTCTACTCATTCAAAGTTTGCAAACCTGCCTCACTAAGAACCTGACAGGCTGGTCCTTGCCTAGGTTTGATCTTTAAATTTAACTTCCCTCTAATGCCCCCCTTGACGATGACGCGCTGGACGAGATTGCCAACTGAGATTCGTTCCATCATCCTCGAAATGGTAGCAGAGAATTACAGGTTCAAATCCGAACAGTACGCCCGCGCGGGCTATGCCAGCGTCTGCCGGGAGTGGCAACCGGTCTTCGAACAGAGGAACTTTCAGCGACTTGTTCTCGATCAAGAGCGCATATCTGACCTTGAACAAGTTATGAGTACCAATCAAAGACGATATTATCTCAGACACCTATTCCTTCGTGTCAGGCTTAACAATTACGACTGCACAGTCTGTAAATCAAAGGAGGATAACCGAACAATCAGGAAGTGAGTAAGAAATTGCCTGGTCCTTGATTTGGTTCACTATTGCACTATTGATTTGCGAGCACAGTCCTACCATCGCTAATTCTAATAGCAATAACGCTATATTTAGCACAGCCATCTGGAATTTATTAGTTATCCTTTCGAAGTGGACCGGATTCGCCGGGAGTCGTCGCCAACAAGGGCTGACTTTAGAAATTGGCGCCTATTCCCCGGGCGACTCTAAGCACACATTTAGGGACTTTCATCTCGAGCCCGACTATCCGTACCAAGAATTAAAGGACTTGGAGACACATTGGGAAGCGTACAAGCTACGAGCCGACAAACTTGGACTTGACAGCTTGAATGACCCACATCATGGGTGGGTTAACGGCAGTCGGGACGATGTAAGCTTGGAATCAAAACAGAGAATAATGGGAACATTGACTATCAAAGCTAAACTTCCGGAATTCTCCGCGTTCTCCCAGACGTTCCCAAAGGTCGAGATTGTAACGGGCCTGCTTATCCGTCGACAGTTCTATCGGAAAATTGCAGCCAAATCCCTCCGCAAGCTCCTCCGGGAGACGTTCACATGCCTTCGGTGGTTTCGTCACGAAGCATGGCATGATGTTGATCCACAGCAGCAGTCATGTTTTGAAAAGAGTATGTCGAAGTCGCATTCCTTGTCACATGTTGACTTACCATTGCAGTCTACAAGAGTATTATTTTACGGAACCTACCAAGTACTCTCCGGGAACTATATATATTCGAGCACTTCAACAAAATTCTCCACCCAGAACGATCCACCAGGCGTGCAAACCGGCCTTTGGGCAAAGCCCTCTCAAAGTCTAGCCGTTTGCTCGAGAATTTGTCTGCGGCCTTCCTTGTGGATGCTGAAGATTTCTTCGCAAATCTCTGGCCGACCAACGAACAAAATTTGAACGTAATTCCCTGGGAGAACCTTCGAAAGCTGGCTCTAACATCACGTTTGCTGCATCCATTGATAGGGCGTGGAAAGATTAACAAGATGCTCATAAATGCAGGCCGGGCGGCTGCTTTCATGCCTAAACTTGAGGTTATGGAGATATGGAATGGTGGCGAAGGTTATGCTTGTCTCTTCCGATACAGCAATGATGATGGAGAACCTAAAATTACTTGGGAATGCAACTGGGGCAGTCACGTTACGTTGGATTATACCGTAGTCCACTGTTGGGCAAATTTGCCCAGGCATGGGCAACATCCGCATGGCAATCTTACAACTGTGGTCAATCGGCTACCAAGGCGACGTAAGCAGGTGAAGACGTATGCCGCTACAATTCGTCATCTGAAACTGCGAAGAAGCGTCTTGCATCTCATTTCTGATTATCAGCTATCCTGGGAGGAATATGGTAACTCATAAGGTTAGTGTAACAAGTGTTGGACTTCTGGTTAGTGTTCACATAAAAGCACTTACGTTTCTTCTTACACCCAAATTACATGCAAATTTCTCCCGTATGGCTTGTCACCTGTTGCTCCCACAGCGTCGGATAGCTGCCTCACCGATTGTCAGGTATAGGCTCTTGCCACAATCACCCGTATAATCATTTTATTAGAATAAATTGTGAGGTTTCCCCTCACAAGATCCTTAATCAGGTCTCGTGCACTCCATTGAATACGCACCTGCAAACAGTCAAAAGTAAGAATTCAGCGCCGAATACTTTAGTTATATTCCACGGACTGCCTAACTACTTGTTAGGATGCTCACGTACTATACTAGCCGTCCGAGAGTTGGTAACTCTGATGAAATCTTCTCATAGAAGAGCACTTGAATATGCTCGAGGAGGCTTCCTCGTGGAAGACTAAACAAGTGTCAGTTACCTACCTAAACTTTTGGACTAAATAAATCGTAAGAAGTCTCATTTACTTAAAACAATTGACGAAATATGTCATAATGTCCTAAGTCAATCCACTAACTAACGATATTTCGTCAACTTAATCGAAGAAATATCGTGCTTCGACTGCCACTTATTTTGTCTACCGCGAAGCTGCTTTTCATCCATCGGAGTCTCTCCCCGACAACCAAACTATTACCCTATAACAAATCACGCCAACAGTCCGAAAAAAACATTATTACCCTATAGTTCCACTTCTTCTCAATCGTCAATTCACATTACCCTATAACATTCCTTCATTACCCTATACTTTGTACCCCATTACCCTATAACTCTCGCGCATTACCCTATAACTTTCACCACGGGGCTCGCTTAAATGCGGATGACCCCGCTACGAGGGGCTTGGGCAAAGGGAAAACTCCGAGCTTATCGTTATCGTGATTGTGGGGAAGAAAATAAACTTTGGTTCCGTTGCCCTGCCCAGGTGATCGAGGAGAATATGTATATTAAGGAATGGCGAATTCTCCTTGGGTTCTTTGACATGCAGGAGATTTCAAAGTTCACTTTGAGATGAATTAGTTGAAATCGGAGAATATTTGACGTGAAAGAGCCTAGAGGTAAGCATACAAGAGTGGAGGGTGAAAGACAAGGGCGCGACTGACATTTGATAGAACCAAATAGACGTATATCTTTGCAATACTTCATTTTAATCACATATCCAAAGTGCAAAAGACGCAAGAATGGGTTCCATAACTCCAAAGCCGGCTCCTCCTACTCCCCAACCATGGGTTGAAACACCACTGTATCGCTCATCAATTCTCTCGCGCTTCGCAGGATGGTAAATACCTCTCTCCATCTCCAAATATATAGCATGTCTTTGACCATTCATGTGCCGTAGCAACATTTATCTCAAACTTGAGACCCTCCAACCAAGCGGCTCCTTCAAATCCCGCGGCATAGGCAACCTCATGTCGCGCGCAATCTCGAAATACCCACCCAACACACCCGTCCGCTTCTACTGCTCCTCTGGCGGAAATGCTGGGCTAGCATGCGCTACCGCAGCGCTTTCGCTGTCCCAATCCTGTACTATCGTTGTGCCCTTCACGACCAGCGCGTTCATGATCGAGAAACTGAAGAGTCTGGGTGCGGAAGTGGTGCAGGTGGGCGAGCACTGGGCGGCGGCAGATCAACATCTGCGAGAGCAGTTGCTAGGGAAGGACAAGACGGGGGTGTACGTGCCGCCATTTGATCATCCGGATTTGTGGGAGGGACATGCTTCGATTGTGGATGAGATGGAGAGGCAGATGGGGAAGAGAGGCGGATATGATGCCGTCGTTTGTAGTGTGGGCGGTGGAGGGCTTTTCGCAGGAATTATGGAGGGGTTGGAGAGGTATGGACGATTGGAAGGAGAGAGGAAGATGAGCGTTTTGGCGGTGGAGACGGAAGGCGCCAGAAGTTTGGCGTTGAGTGTTGAGAAAGGGGTGTTGAGTCGGTTGGGTGCTATCACGACGATTGCGAATTCGCTTGGTGCTACTCAGGTTGCGCCAAGGGCTTTCGAGTATACAAAGAGATATCCCGAGAATGTTGCTTCGGTGGTGCTTTCGGATGCTGAAGCTGCTATTGGCAGTGTATGCTTTGCGGATGATGAGAGAGTCATTGTTGAGGCGGCTTGTGGTGTGAGCATTGCAACTGCGTACAATGGTACTATCAGAAATATAGTAGGAGGAGGGTGTAGCGATGAGGAGTTTGTGAGGAAGAATGTTGTGATTGTGGTGTGCGGTGGCAGTAATATTAGTTTGGACGTATTGGAGAAGTACAAGGAGACTTATGGGAAAGACGAAAAGGTCGTCAAAGGATTTGGAAAAAGGCTGAGCTTGTAGTGTCCTTAGCTACATGTTTTGTTCTCGGTTTGGTCGTAATAAATGGCTGGGTAATGGGTAGCGAAAAAGCGGAAAATGAAATAGAAAACAAACAAGAACACGATTCTAGGCTCGTTGAAATGGAGAATTACATTTGTCAATTTGCCCTGGGTGGTGATTTGTTCATCAGCACTCCGTGCGGACCCTAATCGGTATGATGACAAGAGTATCCGCCAACTTTGAGCAACACACTTATGGCACCAATTAAATATTTGAAATGAAATTGTGCGTGATGTGGATGTTGAAAGGCACTTAGCTTGGGTCTTGTCTGTTTCTTGAGGAAAATATAGCCCGATGGCAAATAACTCTCTCTTTCTTGTGAATGTGTTTGGAGCGCGTCCTGAGGACATATTATCTGGCATGAGATCTCGCCTGCAAGTATGACGGCTGAACTCAGTCTCATGTTTCCTTGGTTGTTTGATTCATGCCCAGTTGTCAGAAACTCATTGTCGACGATAAACAGCGACTGGCAGATTCGAGGGTTCCTCTCTCCTTTGGCTAAATCCTATGGGGGCGTGGAGATATGATTTTTTTGCTTTTGCGCGCACAACACGGCTTGGTATCGGGGATGCGAAGTACCAGATGTATCGTATTTGGAGGACAATCAGCCATTCTTGAAGACTTCCGCAGTGTGTGTCTAGAAGGATTCAAGAGGCGGATGTTTGACCCCAATAACCCGAAACGTGGAGAAGGATCTGCGACATGGTTGAAATAAAGTAGGAGTCAGTTGGAAGAGTCGTACATTATATGCTCTCGTTGAACTCTTACCAACTGTTCGAGGTGTAAGGAGGCATTAAATACTGAGGACAGTCGGATTTATGTTTGATATGGATTCAGCCGTAAAAGCATATACGAGAGGTGCATCCAACTAGCAAACGCTTGACCATTTTAGGATAGTTTGCCGAGATTTCAGGTCCCAAGTCTTCCGTTAGCGAATGGAGACCTCTCCCGCAGCTTTCCTCACCACAACCACCAAATAATTCCTTCGTAACTCAAGTTACAGTGCATTCATCCTATCATTCTGAGGCGCGTCCAGCCCTGTTCCCCTGCGTTCTTCATTGAGACGCATCCGGCGTTCTCCACAGGTGCAGATGTTACCATGGAGGAGAGGGTGGATTGTGGATGCAATCTGTTCTATTATTATTCTCCCACCGCAGATATCACATCAGCTGCCGGTTCCAGCTTCCTTTTGCTATACCATTAACCCTCTTTCCCCAGATTATCTCACTTATATCTAGTCTTCTTCCTTTGTCACTGCAATATTGTTGCATAGCACACCCCTCCGTCTTTTAGGACCTGCTTAATGTACCAGGATACCATATTCCCGATTTGAATTCAACACACAACCACATTCCCAAGTTATCAAAAGCTTCCTTATCAGGCTTGCCACCATTCCCGAACCATCGTTCATCATGCCGAAACAACCTAATGTCGAATTTCAATTCGTCAATTCCACGATCGATGCTCCAACGATGCCTCGAGACCAAGCCGTTCGGGCACTCATCCGAAAGCAAGCGATGAAGAAGGCTTCTGCGGCTCGCAGAAAGGATGGGAATTATGGCAAACATAATCTTCGCCAGTACCCTGTATTTGTCGTTGAGCCAGCGAACCATGTTACGCCCACCGCCGTGGTGGTATTGGATCAGGAGGTCCACGAGAACAATACCACTATTATCAAAACCGAGTCCCCGCCGGGCCATAATGTCTACAACCATAAGAATGTACAGCAGAAGGCAGCGAATAGAATGACCAGTCAACAGAGGTGGCTCGCAAAACTTGCACTGAATCCAAGTCCATGTGCTAGTCTACCAGCTACGGGGTACGAGCTTACCAATATCAAGTCAGACTTTGATATTCTAGACTTGTCAACCTTGGCGTCTATGTTCGCCAGTCGTGCTGTACGAAATGCGTTGTCACAATACCCACTCCAAATTGTCCATCAGTTACGGACGCAGAAACAATGGTCATACTTGGAGTATCTGCCCAGTCAATATGGCCATTATGCATGTTTGAGTGCTGCCACGGACTGTGTAATTGCTCGCGCAAGGCAAATTATTTCTCCGCATGATAATTGGGAATCTGCGGTTACACATTTCTACTGCAAAGCGTTAGGCACTTTACAGAAGGCATTGGATGATCCTGTGCAACGATATAGTGCTCAGGTCCTTTGTGCTACTGAGATTTTGGCGCTTTTTGAGGTAAGCATCGCAGTCTTTCCAAAATATCTGCCTATATTGATATCACTGAGTAGCTGCTTGATCCAACCGGCGAAGCTGCTTGGGTTCGTCATTCGGCCGGAGCCGCTAGATTGATTCAAATCCGTGGTCCTAACAATTATAATTCCGATTTTGAAAAGGCACTTTTCATGGCACACACTGGCCCAATTGTGAGTCCTCGCGCTATGGCTCCAGACGCTTACATTCAGTCACTAATCCGTTTCTTTGGCTAGATGACAGAATGTGTGATGAACAATCAAACTTGCTTTCTCGAGGAAGAATCTTGGCAAGAAGTCTTCCGGTCCATCATCCATGAAGACGAGTTCTTGATATCTGACCGAAGTGAAATCACTATTAGCCTCATCATGATCAAAGCCTTTCTACCAGGCCTGTTTCGGGATGTCACCAACATTATATGTGTGGATTCCGAACCTAAATCTGACTACGTAAATGCTGTAATTGATGGCCTTCGCCGAGTTCGAGGCAATCTTCGCAAATGGCGAGGCAGATATGCAAAGATACTCTTGTCACTTCCTGGCATGCGTCCCGGAAGCTTGGCATATGATTCTCACTGCAAAGTTTTCTCAACATACGTTACATGTTTGATGATATCTAGCCGTCTTTTAGGAACCCTTTCGGCTGTTGAGCGTGCGGATTGCGAAGATTGCACTCAGCGACTCTCGGAAGAAATGTTCGAATTGACCATTCAAACGAAATCTGAGAGCGAACAAACCGCATTGTTCATGGCCCAAACTTTTGGTATTTCCGCCTCGGTTCAAGCAACACAACCTATTTGGCGAGAGCTCACAGAGAGCGAGTCTGACATTTATACCCTATCCGGTGCTGCTGTGGCTCGCTCAGCATTCGAGAGTTGGTGCCGAGTTATTGGACGAAAGATGCCAAGTTGAATGACTTTAAAACGGCGGCACACCGTTTCTGTGGCAAATAGTGGTTGAGGGCAGAAATCCCAACGCCTGTCCCAATGTTCCTGTCGAGAATTTCCTCTCGCTTTCAACACCAGCTCCACGCCGAACTTCATCTTCGTTTCCACTATGCGAAATTCATGTCTTGTCTCAAATCTGAGGCTTGAGGTTTATCAGGTTCTACTCTCTGCGGACATGCATATAGGTTGTCTGTGGCGGACAACGGATCCGGATACATTGACTGACTGGGAAAGTGTTGAAGCAGGGCTGTTCGATATGCCCGCGTCATGCTCCAAGTCGATTTTTCTTCAAGCTTAATGAGAAGTTGGAATGTCGGACAATGGCTCATAACATATATGCTAAGCCTATCGCGGAAATATGTCAGCTGCATATACTCGTACTATCGCCAAGGGTGATGCGCCGTGGGGGACTGTTGCGCGGTCTCTAAGCCATAGTTTGGTAAGAGTGTCGGAAGCCACATTTTACGAAAGATGATGTTGGTGCAAAGCTTTCCGTCTGAAAGTCACGAATGCATAAGATCTTGTAGATCGTCATGGCCGAATTGGGATTTCGTGTCGTGTCGCATTACGTTGTGGGACACATCGGGCGTGGTAAAACACCAACCACCCATCCTTGCAACACAGTAATTTTCCGCAGATGTCAGCCCAGTAAATGATGTAGATAATGACGAGCGGACTGAAAGGTATACTGAAGCATTTCCTCGATGTTCAATTCATTTGCAACGGAAATTCATATGCAAATGAAAATTTTGGTAGACGTTCAATCACAGATTCCCTTGGAAGCATGAACCGTAATCCTTAGCAAGAGTATGTTCCTCGATTCAATATGTGGAGACTCATCTAACTTGTTAGTTATCGATCGAATAAACTTTGAACCTCCGATATCATTTCCCCGAATTTGAAACGCAGAGCTCATCCAGCTAGTCAGCATGTCCACTCTGTCGATGCGTATAGCTGTCGTCGGCGCTGGTGCGGCTCATTTCAACGTCGCCAATGCTCTGAGTCTTGATTTGATGGCCTCTGCTTCTTCGTTGAATTCCAGAGCAATACTCTCTCGTTCAAATGCGCAAATCTCGCCACGGATGTCCTATATCAGACCACGAGACGGGTCAGACTCTGCGAACCTAGCCGTCCTCGGTGTACTCTCAGCCGTATTGTTTCTCGCAATGATCATCTTGGGGATCTTTCATGGCTGGAATTGGCGGAATTCAATGTTGCGGGTCATACGTGTCCAAAAGGAGAAATACGATGCCTTTTTCACCCCGGAACTTCCTGTCTCTGAACCCATCTACGAGAAGGACGGCCAAGGAATTGGGGACCCTAAGATTGAGAAAACTTACGAATTAGATGCTCAAAGTAACAGGAGTCTTAGAACGAGACTTAGCAGAGCCTTCTCATTGAAAAAGAAGATCGTGGTCAATAAAACAGTCGAAACTTGGAGGATGGCACCTGGCGGCCCATTTAATTCCCACTCACCTACGGCGGAAGTACCACCAATGCCTCGAGCACCACTGGTTATGGAGGCCATCATATTACCAGAGCTTCCAGCGCAGTCACTACGAACCGAGAAGTCCAAGATCCTGACAGAAGATGAAGGTATCGAAAAAGCCTCAGCCGAGAGAATGCGAATCGACCGTCTTCAATCCCTTAAAACAGAAGAAGAAGAGATCCAAACCCTTCTCCTAACCCTCCAAACTCGGAAGACCCAGCCCTCAAAAGATGACGCACCACCAAAGGCGCCCCCCCCAAAATAAACCTCCCTTCGCCAACGGCCGCCCCACTTCGTCACATTCACCTTCAAACATACTTTAAATATTAAATCAAACGAAAAGGATCTAACCAATAGGCGGGCCTAACAGCCCGCCTGCGACTGATTTGTGTCTGGAGTTTCCCGTCGTTAAACACGAAAGCCAGGAAAGATAGAAAGAAACTTTCCTGAAACATTAAACGAACCCGGATGTGGGTGCGCAGCGGGCGGAGGGAAGCGTGCGCACCCCCATCCGGACCAGTTTAGACACTTGGAGCCTACGGGTGTAGTGATATTTTCCTGTTTTTGGCGTTGGTGGTCTTTTTCTTTTGGGTGGGAAGGGGGTGGGTGGTGTTGTGGTTATTGACTTTTTTTTTGGAGTTTTTGGAGAGGTTTCGCTTAGTGTTGTATATATTTATGATTTCTTTTATGTTGAGCACAATTTTAGATCGGTGGGGTGACTGGATTTCGTCATCCACCTGTTTGCAGCAAACCCGTTCGTTGTATTTGGAATTACCTTCGCAGTTACTTCGTTTTGCCTCGATCCATTACTATTCTTTAGTCTTGCCTTCTTTGTTACCCAGAGTTCTTCCGGATGGTACCAAATATACTGCGGTACCGGTGATACTCGGCCCTACGAGGACAGAGTAAACGTGTGTTCAAATCTATCTATGTCGGGAGCTTAGCAGAGACGTGCATTTCATCCCTTGGCCATGGAGAGGAGTTTCTTGAAATCTCCAGTTGCACGACGTCGGCGTTCGAGGACTGCCAGTGGATTTCGGATAGGGACATGGGTTTTGGTTTCGTTTATCTTTCGACATGTAGAGGAAAACCTATGAATTGCAAATGGGAACCCGGTTCTTGGTCTCGGTCAATTGTCTGCAGGTACTCCAGACTGAACCGCAGCAGACTTAACCTACGCAGGTAGCCGTCGAGGCATCGGCGACTACGCGTCCGGGAGTTGAGGACAGGCTGGACTGTAAGGACTTGTTGAGGGGTTGGGAGTCTCCAGTCTTCGTTATGTTCAGCCTGGAGATGTTGAACCTCTACAAACAGCGATACAGCAGTCGAAGAGATGTTGCTTACGACGATGGTTACGATATTAGTTAGGGACATGGGGAGAATAGCTGGTCGAACACCACAAGTGGAGTCCGATACAACTACACCAGAATCGAGAGATTTGTTTTCCACTGACAGCTACGCCGGTTTCAGCATTACTGTCGCGCCTTCAAGTCCCCAGGATCATACCACAGTAATTATCATCTCGGATGGGGAACCTCCTACAACTACCGCCGAGACCTCTACCACAAGGATCATCACCAGTCCGATATCCCTTTCCCATGGCTTGATATCTAAAGCGAGCACAATTATTTCTGTTGAATCGACCTTGCAGCCGCGAACAACCTCTACACCGCGCTCATGTCTCGATAGCCAAGCACCTCCTGAATGTAGCGCCACTATATCCATCAACGAATTACTGCACTATCAAAGCAACACCAAACCATCATACTTGACACAATTAATTACTGCTGCCTGCTTCCTCTTATTCTTCTTGGCTGTAGCAGTCTACCTATTTGTCTGTTTGAAACTACGCAAAAGCCAGAAGCGCCCGGTATCTCTGCGCTCGAAAGATGAACACGTAATAGATGGGAAGGAGCATTGTGGCATAGAACTAACTACGATTTACAACACACACGAGGCAGATGGTCAAGCTGTCATGAGAAGGGAGGAAGTGATACTCCAAGGGATGGGGTTGTCCGAAGAAACAGATCTGTTACCAGGAACACGACGACAGTAACAGTACCGAACTCACAGCCGTCAACTACTGCGGCTGATGTCATTACTTCCGCCGATACCAACCTGTACGTTCTACCTACCTTTCATTTTGACAAATGAAGCTATCTCCAGTTCAACGGATTAAACAGAGGAATCAAAGCGGATCAGGACATATTTGCAGGTGGAGAGGAGGAAGACCATGATATCTCAGGGACTTTGTGAGACGAGTGGGATGTACCTTTCGAATTTCTCAGCCATTTTGTCGGTCCTTACCAATCATCCTCGGTGGTCACATCTCCTAGCGCTTGTTGTCTTTTGCCATGTGGGAAGTGGATGGATAATGAATAATATGTTCGAATGTATATTGTAAAGCTAAGCAGCTTCATAAGAAACGGTTTCTGCAGGGCAGAAATATGGGGATCGGCGCAACAAGAACAATTTGGAATTGTATATCTGTCATTTCAGAAGGTCAGCAAAACTTAATCGAATACCAAACGATTTTACAATAAATATTCTGTATTTTTCCTTTCTGACTGACTTGTTGTTATACCACGTGATCCCGCCCCCTAATTGGAAGGTGGAAGCCATTACACAATCAATTGTTGCACATCGCAAGCCTCGAGCCATAGAGTGATCCGAGAGACCTCCATCTCACACCGTTATCCCACACAAGATTGGACGCCGATGCTCTTCGTCCAATGCGGGGAACAAGCACTCCGTAGGTACTCACGTAATTCGCTTCTTTCTGACAGCTGAAGCGACGCCTTGCATCAGCGTGAAATTGCAACCTAAAGATGACTCTGATTTGGTAATATGATGGATCAGCTGGTGAGTGTATTGGATGGTTTACTCGGTCTTGTTGGTTAATTCGTTGAAGATGGCGGCGGTCAGCGGGCCCTTGTTTTGGTTGTTAGTTGGGAGGTGTGATAAATTTGAGCTGAGGTGTTACACGAAGCAAACACACGTTGAACAAGGCTCTCGTGGCTTTGAAAGTGAGAATGGAGGGATGCTATGATGTGATGTGTTTGGAGCCCTCTTTAAATCGTTCAATGTTTGCGACTTACACGGATACAGCTCTTGAGCTTCGATTTCGACTACGAAAGTAAACTACCAACCACAAAAGCGATGGCTACCGCAACAGTGACGGAATTACCAGACGCCCATGTCCCAGAAGACCAGAGCTCCAATACCTCAGACAAGATGCAAACCAAGCTCCTGAACGAGAAAAACATACCCAACACAACAACAGCACCAGTAACCGAATACCTCACCCACATCCCTGACGAATACGTCGACTCAATCATCAAAGCCCTCGGCGGACCACCACCCCTTAAACACTCATTAAGCCAGCACATCTGGCCACCATCCGGACTCAACGAAGGCCTCTACAAAGACGTCCTCCGCTACCGCCACTTCGCACAATACAAATTCTACTTCGCCTCCCTCCTCTACAACTTCTGTCTCGTAACCCAGCTCATCCTCGGCGCAGCCCTCACCTCCCTCTCCGCCTCCTCCGCATCTCGCAACGGGACAGCAATCACCATCATCGCAGCCGCGAACACCGTGAACGCGGGCCTCGTCGCGCTCCTACACAACAGTGGGTTGCCTAGTCGACTGCGAAATGATATGGTGGAGTACGAGAAGGTGCAGATTTGGATAGAGGAGATTATGAGGGGGGGCGTAGCGTTAGGCGTGTTAGTTGAGGGGGGAGCGGGGGATTCGACGATTACGGTTAGGGATAAGGTTGTTGGGGAGGCGAGTGCGAGGTTTCTGAGGGCGAGGATGACGGTTGAGAAGAATAGGCCGAATGCGTATAGTGCTACCAATGCTACGACTCCATTGCCGGGGGTTGCGCCGCAGCCTGGGACGACGGTGTAGGGATTGAGCTGTGGAAGATATTTGAGGAGGAGCTATTTGCAGGGAGCGTTGTGCTAGAATTGGAAAGAGAAGTGCTATATCAGAAGCGGGACGTGGAAATGTGTGAGGCGCGTTCCTAAAGCTATGATATATAGCAGGCTAACGAAGAAAACTAGGGTTTCAAGATTGACAGATTTAACAGAAGCGCAGAGGAGCGTTGTCGAAGAGCTAGTTTGAGCTAGGGATTGAAGCTTGACACCCACTGTAGGTGCTAGCAGTTGCCTAAATATGCTGATGCAACACATGTAATGTAGAACAGTAATAATACCCCAACATAGGACAGAAGAGTTCCACTTACCTTGAATGCCCGATTCAGAATCGCTTCAAAAATGCAATTGTACAACATATATTACATTTATTACTTGACATCTCCACCTCCTAATATGTCCTTGATGTTGATTTGACCACTTCCCCGCTCCAACGGTTGAGACTGATTTGGTCCTTCTTTCCAGCCGATCATATATATCATACGAAAAGTCGCAGGTAACGAGCCATCATCATTGCCATGCAACTCCCGATAAATACCTTCATTAGCAAGCAAAACATCTCGTTGTATTGGCCCAAATTCTCGACCAAACACCGCATTGCTTTCTCCCATCGCTTGAAGATCCTGCATTAAGGCAAACGAGGTTGGATAATCGACGATTATGTCGTCCACATCTACTGTCAACATCTTAAATCCAGCTTTCTGTAATAGTCCGCCCATATCTCTTACATCTGCCAAGGGCGAGACGTGAGTTGAAACACCACCTCTTCTGTCTTGATCCGCGAGTTGTAAGGAAGTGCGTAATTCGTAAAGAGAATCTCCTCCAAACATTGCGGCGATGAACGGTGCGTCCGGTTTCAGAACGTGGTTTATCTGTGCAAGTAATGATGGTAGATCATTAATCCAATGCATACTTAGAGAGCTCAAGACTGCGTCGAAAGAGTTTCCATCATATGGGAGACTTTCTTCGTCCCCGATTACATCTCGAGTGATGTCTACCTCTTTGTTGAACGGTTGATCCGCGTCTCGATACAGAATGGCTCGCGACGAGTCGGCAGCTGTTATCCGCCCAATTCGAGTTGATAATGGCGGAGATTTTGCTTCTGGGAATGGATCGGGTAGAGTGAGTGCGCGGGCGATATTACATGAATTTGCACCCAAGTCGAGAACGTGGCCAAAATGTCTATTAATGTCCTACCAAACATTAGATCACTTTGACTTCCATTTGCGTCGTAGAACACAATCATACCAGCAATCGCTCAGACAATCTCATTGCCACTTCATCCTTCAAATAATCGACTCTCCTACTACTCTCGACATCTGCTGCTGCTCGTTCCTTCTGCGCCCATTTCGTACGCCGGTTGAAGATTTGCAGAGTAGGGTTTCCTGGATTTTGAACTGCATAATTTCGAATGAAACCTATGCTCCGCCTATGAACATTGCGAGGTAAAAATGATCGTACATTTGGGGCTTTCATAATAGTCAATTGAAAGTTGTACAAATACAATTGTGTAGCTTCATGATGTTGAAGCTGGAAAGGCTATGGTGACGTTTAGCAATATTTGGTACCCGCGAGGCTCCCGCCCTCTAAGTCCGTCTCCGTAGAATCCCTGTCACTCGTGTACACTAGCCGCCTCTGTACGGGGGGTTCAACACCATCTGCAAAGCACACCTCCAAGCATTTAGAAGCTTTCGAATTCTTTGCGCCCATCGCGAGATAATTCTACACCAGCGTTCGAATTCGAGCTGGCTACTGGCCACCACGCGGCGGATGGACGGCCATGATCTTGGGCTAATCTGAGAAGCTCTTCCCCTCTACGACTCCAGCCCACGTTCCATAACACACCTGCGAAGCCGATCAGCTTGATCGAAACAAAGCACCCCGAGAAGACTGCGCGTTTCGAGCTTGGAGGTTGATCTTGCAACCAGGTTTGCGCGGAAGTCGGCGTGTTATCCAGCTTCTTGTTGATCTGACAAATCGAGAGCGGTACACTCGACAGTAAAAATGGCGACCTCAGCAGCTTCGAACTTCCTGAGTAGGGGGACCTCGGGAAATAATTCGAATATGCGTGGACTGGTGCAGTTCATCGCTGATCTGCGGAATGCCAGAGCAAGGGAATTAGAAGAAAAGCGGATCAATAAGGAATTGGCGAACATAAGGTAGGTTCATTTTGGGAGCGCATAAAACAACTGTAATGCTGACGGTATCATTTAGACAGAAATTCAAAGGTATTTGCAAGATATGGTGTGCGGTTCGGATCAGTCACTGACATAGCCATAGATGGCAGTTTGAGTGGATACCACAAGAAAAAATATGTCTGCAAGGTAGGATTTCAACAGCATGTAGAAATAAGCTCTGACAATTTCTAGCTTCTGTACATATACATTCTGGGGTGGAATGTCGATTTCGGTCATCTCGAAGCTGTCAATCTCATTTCTGCAAACAAATATTCTGAAAAGCAGATTGGATATCTTGCTATGACCCTTTTCCTACACGAGCAGCACGAATTGTTACATCTCGTCGTCAACAGCATAAGGAAGGACCTCACAGATCACAATGAGTTGTTCAATTGTCTGGCGTTGCATGCGATTGCAAATGTGGGTAGTAGGGAAATGGGAGAAGCGCTCAGTGGAGAAGTGCACAGGCTGCTGATATCACCGTAAGACATGGGAACTGCATAATGGTTGTTGCTGTGGCTAACTCGATACAGGACTTCAAAATCGTTTGTGAAGAAGAAGGCTGCTCTGACTCTATTGCGATTGTATAGAAAACATCCAGATATTGTCCAACCGCAGTGGGCGGAACGCATAATATCACTTATGGATGATGCGGATATGGGAGTTGCCTTGTCCGTGACCTCTCTCGTAATGGCTCTTGCACAAGACAACCCTGAGCAGTACAAGGGAAGTTATGTAAAGGCAGCTTCAAGAATGAAGCGAATACTTGTAGATGAAGAATATGCGTCGGATTATCTTTACTACAAAGTACCTTGTCCGTGGATACAAGTTAAAATGCTGCGATTGTTACAATATTTCCCTCCTTCAGGCAAGTAAACAGAGGTATCTCTGAAGCCAAAGCTAATTCTTAACAGAAGATACCCATGTTCGCGATTTGATCCGCGAATCACTACAGAAGATTTTGAATTTGGCATTAGAGATGCCAAAAAACGTCCAACAAAATAATGCACAGAATGCGGTTCTGTTCGAGGCAATTAATCTCATCATCCACCTGGATACAGAAACGGCGCTCATGAAACAAATATCAAGCAGACTTGGAAAGTTCATCCAGTCAAGGGAAACGAATGTTCGTTACCTAGGGCTAGAAGCAATGACACACCTTGCCGCGAGAGCCGAAACTCTGGATCCCATCAAACAGCACCAGTCTATCATCATTGGATCTTTGAAAGATAGAGATATCAGTGTGAGACGAAAAGGCTTGGACTTACTGTACAGCATGTGCGATTCTACCAACGCGCAACCAATTGTTGGAGAACTATTACACTATCTGCAAAATGCAGATTTTGCCATTCGAGAAGAAATGGTCCTAAAAATTGCTATTCTGACAGAGAAATATGCCACTGACATACAGTGGTATGTTGATATCTCACTCCGACTCATAGCCATGGCTGGAGATCATGTCAGTGATGAGGTATGGCATCGAGTCATCCAGATTGTAACGAATAACGAACAATTGCAAATATATGCAGCACAGAATATCTTGCAGTACGTCAAGGCGGATCATTGTCACGAGACCTTGGTCAAAATAGGTGGCTACCTATTGGGTGAGTTTGGACATCTAATCGCCGAAGACAAAGGCTGCAGTCCGATCGAACAGTTCCTCGCTCTGCAGAGTAAACTCCAAGGTTGCTCTTCAAGCACGAGAGCTATCATTCTCTCCTCTTTTATCAAATTCGTCAATCTGTTCCCTGAAATCAAGCCCCGCCTTATGTACGTCTTCCAAGCATATAGTCATACACTGGATTCCGAGCTTCAGCAGAGAGCATGTGAGTATCTTGCTCTGGCAAGTCTTCCGAATGACGATCTTCTTCGCACGGTTTGCGATGAAATGCCGCCATTCCCAGAGAGACAATCTGCTCTTTTATCTCGCCTACATCAAAAGCATGGAAAGACAAGCGACAAACGGACATGGGTTGTTGGAGGTAAGGATGCCCAGGCGGGTGAGAAAGACCTGTCTTTAGCCATGAATCCAGGATTAAAACGCGCTCAAAGTTCCAATGGCATCACTCCTGCCAATGGAGCGACAAATGGTGGTTCAAACGGGACCAATGGTCAACACAACGGTTCTAGTGATCTTGCTGGACTTGATATGCTTGACTCCGGACCAGCAGAGCCAAAAATGCTCAAAGCACCAAATTTGGCAAGCGCGGCACATCTCTCTCCAGACTGGGAGGTTGGCTATAACAAGCTTCTGCTAAAAGCAGAGGGCATTTTATACGAAGACGGTCAGATACAGGTTGGTGTGCGGTCAGAGTACCGTGGAGAAATGGCCTGTATCATTCTATACTTCTCGAATAAAGCTCCCACTGCGGTCAGCTCGTTCACCACGACTCTAGATCTCGATGCGGTTGAGAAGGAGAATTTGACTTGGGAAGTCAAAGGGTTGCCAGAAAGCACTATTGCTCAAGGCCTACAGAGCCAACAAATGATCATGTTTAGTGCTCACAATGTCTTTGACAAGAGCCCAACCATCAGAATCAGTTATTTGGCTGGTGCGCTTCAGGCCCTGACATTAAAATTACCGATCACAATTCACAAATTTATGGATCCTGCAGAGTTGACCGCGGATGATTTCTTTAAACGATGGAATCAGATCGGAGGCGCTCCACGAGAGGAGCAGCGGGTGTTCGGTGTGAAGGGTAATGATCGGGAATTCAACGACTCTTTTATTCGAAAAACGGTCGACGGATTCAGATGGGGCATTCTCGATGGCGTGGACAAAAACTCAAAGAATTTTGTAGGCGCTAGTGTTCTTCATATTGGTGGTGGTCGGAAATTTGGATGTCTGTTGAGACTGGAGCCCAACTATGGGAAGCAGGTAAGCCATCCGTCCCAACATGTTCTGTCACAAGACTAATGACTTTATTTAGATGCTCCGTCTCACCATCCGAGCAACAGACGAAACCGTCCCCCCAGTTCTCATCAAAATCATGGTCGACAGACTACAAATCGGCCAATCCACACAACCAGAGGAATTTATCCCGCCGTCACAGCGCGAGATCTCTGATGCTTTTGGAAATGTTCTTGTGTTATGAAAAGGCGACGGGGTCGAGGTGGAGTAATATAGTCGTTTGTTATTCTTAGCATCTATAGCGATACAAAATTTTGAGGCGTGGGTGGGATGCGGGCTTTGCGTGGGATTGTCGTTTGTGGAAGGGATGGGAAGAGGATGGGGATGGGGAGGGGTAGTTTAGGTACATATTGTGATGCATCTTAATGGAGTTTGAGTTGAGTGTTGAGTTGCTTTTTTGTGCTGTGTTTGCTCATCTATGTGAAGGCAGTATGGAGTGAGGAGTGATAATCGCCTTGTCCTCTCCAGGTCTATTGAATATCGCCATGTTAAATTCCATGTTACAATCAAGTTCTAGAGATTTCTCATCCCTCTCCAGCATAGCCCTCCCAGCCGTCTGAGAACGTTTCCAAGAAAGAACAAATCCATCCCATCCAAAAATCAATACCTCACAAAATCGTTTCCGGAATTCCGTACCCGACCTAGTATAGAACGCAGACAACACTGCAACTTGGTATTGGCCGTCAGAACACAAGGCAGACCAGAGTCATCAGACAATGGCATGTTTTGTGTGGGTAGTTGAGAATCGAGAGGCTACTATATTGAATTTGGAATTGTGTGGTTTGAAGAGGTGATGGTGGATTGTGTGGGGGGGGTTGGGAACGTTGTTGGGATGGAAGGAGTGAAATGGGAAAGTGTGGAGGGTGGTTTCGGTGGTGGATGGATTTTCGGCGGCAAATATCAAATTTAAGGGTTGTGGATAATCGGTTCCACTGTCAGTACATTCTCATTGACTTTAGTATCTTTTTATTACAGTTAGTGACTGAGCTATTATTTTGCTTATTCTCCCAATGAGCTCCAATCGACGGACGAGGCAGGATGGCAGGATGGATCCGATGAAAGCAGTGTGAATGTGGCCATGTTGAATTACAGTGAACATGATTTGTTCTAGTTTCATGCTGACATCTTAACTTTTTGGGGATTTTGGAAGTGGATGTTTTCCTGTTTGTTTTTGGGTGGAAAGGGTTTTGGATAAGAGATAGGGGATATTTGGTAAGTTTGTCCGGGTGTAATTACTATTAATTATTAATTGTAGGACAGAGATAAGGGTGTTTCGTAGAAGTAAAGACATTTCATATCACAAGACTGTCACTTGACCACCGCACACCGCTAACTCAACATATACACTTACTCACACACCAAAATAGCAAGGAACCAGAATCCTTCATCGGTTCGACAGTATGACTCTTATTGTATGCTGTAGCTTTAATATTGCTGCAAAAGCTTTCCACATATAACTTCAATGGTGGGCTTTAATGGGTTTCGTTTCCTTTTTCTTTGGGAAATATGCTTAGTTGCTAAACTAATGGAATTTGGGGCGCCTTGGACTGTCCATTATTATGTTTGTGTGGGTGGGTTCGGAAGTGGAAAGAATTTCGGCAACAACTCCCCGCCCAAGATCCATCTCCTGTGACTTTCCTTGTCGTCTATGTACTCCACCTCTTCTAATCTTCTCCCATCGCGATCAATGTTTGATTTCACACTATTAATATGACATCGAAACGATTTTTGATCCTCTTCTGCTGGTGAAGACATCGCGGCGATGAGTTGAGGTTTGGTCCGGAGAAAGTCCTCGGACAGGGACCTCATTAATGTACTGATATCAGATTAACTGATGTGCAATTTATAGTCTTGTGTACTAGAAATTATATTTGAAAGAGGGATATCTAGGCATTCCTGGGGGTTAGTGATAAAGGGTTTCAATTTAGGGAGTACAAGTTATCTCGTGGGTTGTAAGTTATGTTTGATGATAGATTGAATAGTGTTGGAGATTTTGACTATGGGTTAGTAAACATAAAAACCGCTCTATCGTTTCCGAAATCTATGGATATCGTCACCTAAATATCAAGCACTAATCACCTATCAGCACCCATCTTTATCCACTTCGCTATTCGACCACTTCCATCCCCCTTTTCTCCTTCGTTTGTGCATTAATTCCTAAAAATTTATGACTTTACTTCTTTCTCTTAGCGGAACTAGACAGTAACCACTTTCCACCATAAATGCGGACCAATCTCACCTCGTCCAGAATTCATATCGAGGTGTATGATCCAGTTTATTATTCTTAAGTTTACATCTTTCGCGCTTTATTTATATAATGTGTCGGACATTTTTAGAAGGTAAGAGCCGTATTTAAGTAGACATAGCTTATAGTCTGTGAGGCCGGACTCTAAATTTACTTATACGTTAATACTTAGCTATTCTCAAGGAGTGAAACATTGATTTAGGGTTTGGGAAGGGTATGTTTGTTGCCAACTGTATTTGGATCCTTAACTCTGTCTGTTTTCAAAGAGCTATAAGGGGTTGGTCCCTCGTTACTGCTACGGTGCGGAAATGTAGATAGAATATATATATTAAATGCTATATAAATTTCAAGAAAATATATATCCTTTAGATATAGATGACGGTTTTCACGCCGGAGGGCATAAAGTGGAGTATTGCTTAAGATGACTATTTTAATCAAATTATAGTAAGTAACATAGTTCATTTTTCTGGTTGTGTGAATCCTTACATTCCGGTACTATTCTTCTCGCTCTCATCTCTCGCCCTCTTTCAAGAACCTACTTTCGGTGACAAACCTACTTCCGACAACAACATCCCTTTCAAAACAACACTTCATCTTTCTTGCTATCTGATTCGTTATACAACTGACTACGTCCTGTGAACTTCTAGTAACTTCTTTTCAACATCCACCTTGGCATTACAGTGAGCAAGAACTTACACACTAGAACGACCAGAGGATTCATGTTATAATGTAAACGAAGAAGAAAGTATCTTACGTATCTCTTTTATAAATTGCGGGGCTTGTAATTTGCTGTTTGAGTAGTTAGTTGAATACTAGTAGGTTTCTGTCAGGGCGGCCGTACTAGTGTGTTTGTGATTAGAGAATATACAACTCAAAAATCGTGTATCGAACTTCTATTAAGGTGGAGAAATGGGCCCTTGCGACAAGATAGTTTTTAGTTATAGAGAAAATTAAGGAGGAATTCCGAATATTAAAGATGTAATAGACTTACTAGTTATGTTTAATTACGTAGTATTCCTTAATTTTTCTTTATAGAACGCTTAAAATTTTGGTTACTATTTAGTCTCGACGATAACTATACTTAAACGACAATTTACATTTTAATAAATGTTTATGTTATTCGAATTTTTTCTATACGAGACTATTAGATAATTATTAACGATTAGAGAGATACTGTTATTTAAGTTAAATTACAATAAGTGGCTTAGCTTATTTACGTACCTACGTAAGGAATTTTTTAGATCTTATAATTCTATGTTAATATATTATATCTCTCTTCTTACATTTTCGTACCTAATTAACTTTCGGTAGAAACTATATTTTCGGTAACAGCTATTAACTTTAGATTTTTAAGCGTACTGTTAGCTCTTATATACGCGATTTCTTCTTACCTAGATTGTTGTTTCTCCTTATATAGCTAGTGACCTTTTTCCACAATTAATCTAGACGTGTCCTCTAACAATCTATTCTATATAATATTTAAAATAATCGCAGTAACGGTCTAGCTACTGCCCTCTATTACAAGAGTTTCAGAAGAAAGAGAGAAAGAGATTATATAGTAATAGGTAGAACTTTGTTTTTTTAATTAAGACCTTTTAAGTCGTATATTCTTACTTTTGTAGGTTTGTATTCGTTTCCTTTACATTCGGGGTACGTAGTCTCGCCGTCTCGGTAACATTCATTTTCGGCAGCACCGCTCTCCCCCCTCCCCCCTCCCCCTTTCCCCTTCTTCTTCCTTACAACCTTACAACTCTACCCCTGCGTATCTACAACATTCCGCTCTCGGCCTTACACCTCTATACATCCACTTGACATCTAGCTGCCTAAATCTCTTTAATGCCTGGGCGGTTTCTTTAAGGAGGCCTTTAACATCCTCCAAAAACACTTTCTCATATTTCCTGACTTACGTAAAGTTTTAGGTATAAGCAGCCCTTATCCAAATTAATAGAACCGTATTCTTCACTCTTCTAATACCCTTCATCTATCAATTCGTTACTCCTACAAAATCATACCGATCAAAACCTCCTCCACCCAATACCCCTTTTCAACCCATCCTTATAACGTGCACAATCCACCTATCCTGATTCATTTCCTTCCAATCACGTTTCTTATCCATTTACTATGTATAACCAAAAGTAATAACATAAAAACCCAAAATCCAACCCTCTCCTCTCGATACATACAACACAACACTTGACGATAGACTCAGAGCCTCTGTTTGTCACACCCTACAAATAAAACATCTGAGACTACGAAATGGAATTCTACTTTGTAGATATTCGAATAGATTTCATCAAATCTCAAAATATACTGCAAGCGCATAGCGGGTTATCCTTATTTGGTTTTCGGCAGTGAAAATACTTTCGACAACAAACTTCCTCTCTCGCACTTTCCGCCGCGAACCCTCCCGTTATACCTTTAAATTCTCATCCACTCATCCATATTTGCACGACAATGAATAAATTCCTCCTTATAGACTTACCAGGCCGCTAGGGGTCTAGACACACAACCATCTCTATCGACCCGAACTGTACACTATTGTAGAAACATCTAATGACACGGGATGTGATTTATGAATTTAGCTGCCCTGATTTTCTGGGTAGGTATCTACAATTTTCAACATGCGTAAATCCGAATTGAGATCAGATCACCTTAAATTCCTTATACTTGTTTCCAACTCATCTATAAATCACTATTCTCTGTTACTATGCTAATACAGAAATAGTTCACATCTTCTTCTTTGTCATTTACTTCTCACCCGGCCCAAAATTTAACAGCCATTAACTTCACCACCCCCTCCCTACCACATCTCAACCCCCCCACCAAACCACAACCTCCAACATTTCCCCCTTAAAAACAAGTCTCCTCCCTTCGCTTCCCTCTTTATCTCAGAAACCAGACACTGAAAGATATCAAACATACCAGAACTAAACTTCCAATTACTCACTCCGCAACTTGCCAATGCCAACTACCTCTACATTATGTCCACATAATGTCCCGGCGTCTGGATTTCTTCTAGTGAGATGTGTTTTTACAACGTTTTGTTTTTGGCGGGTGCGAGGGTTTTCGGTGGGAGATGTGGTTTCAACAACAACCTCCTTTCCAACAACACCTCCCCTCTCAATCTCCCCCTCACACACCCTTCAATCTTTCTCACAACCCCTACCTATTTCCTACACAAAACCCCCTCCCACACCACCCAACCATCCCATCACAACAAGATCTCGTTGTCGAGTCAACATGACCGCTAAGCTCTCCCTACTCCACCGCAGCATATTCATAAATCCAACTACCTTCCTTTTTCAGATAGCCATTTTCAAAAATAGCAGATCTGGAAGATTAAATTATTAATTGATATCAATTTCTATACTCCAACAAATCCACCATCCCCCCTCCCGCCCCTAAAAAAAAAACAAAGAAAAACAGAGCAGAGGAAGCAAAGACAAAAATCGAGCGAGCGAGTATACCAAACCAGTCATTAGTTTCGACCTCAGACTATATAATAGGCTTTGTGATATTTCTACACGAGAGAGGGGGGTGGTTTCGGTGGTGGACGGGGTTTCGGTGAAAAGTGCATCCCCCTGCTCAGCAAACTAACGTCCGAGATAGAAAATCGAACGGGAAAAGGGGAGGAGTTTGATGTATTGATCGCCGCCTTCTCCCACATCATTTCTCAACTATACAAGGTTTGTAGATACTTAGAAACAGTAGACTGAGAATGCTCACTCTTCACAGTCCCCGAAAACACGAAATCTTATTGTGTGGTCGAATGCCATGTTCTTAATTATTAGTTAGTCTACACAACTACCGCTCCACCATACCTCCTCCTACCTCCTCACAATTACCCCCCTCCATCCATCCATTATATACACTCCTCGCTCTTAACCCATTTCGACAAATATACAAAACCCCCTCCCCCTCCCCCTTCACGCATTCTAATATACACCCCCCTCTCCATATATCCATCAAATCACGCTATGCAATGCACCCATCCATGCTACCCAACCCTTCAAAAAGCAAAATGCACGCTCCCTGACTATCCCCAAAAACGCCAGAAATGCATCTCCCTCCTTCCCCTCGCATCTCCAACTCAAAAAAAACATGCTCTCACTGCATAACACTCTGCCTCCACCTCTCCACCATATCAATCTGCCCCTGATTAAGCGGCTCGCTCATCTGCTGCATATGCAACATGGGATTCGGCATGAACCCCTGATACGCCATGCCCGCATACGGATTATAAAACATATTATTGCCCATCATCGCCCCATTAAACGCGGGCAGAGTGGGTTGGGCGAATTGCGGGGGCGCGTACATGTTAGGATATGGATTCTGGGGTGGTACGATCCCGCCTTGTGGACCGTTTTTGTAGCCGCCCGAGGATTGGCGGGGCGTGGTATCAAGACGGAGTTGGCTGGATGAGCGGGATTGTTCGTGGAGGCCTAGGAGGCCGGTGGAGGGTTTGGATTGGGAGTGGGTGGTTGCGCCGGCGGAGGGGTGGGCTTGGAGGATGGTTGCCATACTGTGACGTTTATTCAGGCCTGGTCGAGAGTCGCCGTTTGCAGCTGCGGCTTCGCGTTCTGCTTGGAGACGTTTTCGTCTTTGGCCGAGGGTTTCGTCTTCGGGTGGTGGAGCGGCTTCTTTTGCTTTGGGTTTGGTAGCTAGATCTCCACCGAATTGACTCATCATTTCCGAAGCGAAATCTCCACTGATCGGACGAGCTTTGGGAAGACCAAGATCATTGACACCCGCTTCTTTGTCTTTCAGACGTTTGATCCGCTGAGCTAACGTTTCTCCTTCTTCCTCTGGCTCCTCGGTCTGGATCAAATTTGGATTTGTGACGGCCCGAGGAACTGCTGGACGGCCAGTTATCCTCTCCCGACGCTTACTCAAAGGTTCATTATCTTCCATCTCACGACGTTCCAACAATCCGATCGGACGATTGAGATCCTGCGCTTTCTTCGAGTAGAGAATCGCAAGAGGTACATCATCATCACTTCCATCGTTATCATCTTGCTTCTGTACTGGAGCCTCCCAAGCCAAATTCACCCTCTTCTGCTTTCTCGACTTCTGTTCAACTTGCGCTACAGCGTCCATCTGCAAAAGTGTAGAGTGCATTCCATTAGGATAAGCTTGACCAAGATTTCGAGTTCGCAATTTTTGTTGTTGCTTTCGAAGTTGGAGTTCCGCGAGAAGTGTAGTTGGAGGGCCATGATATTGTTCATCATCTTCCTCCCCGTCTTCCTCCTCCTCTTCATCCACAACTTCTTCGCCATCCTCCCCAAATTCGCCAGAATCAGGTCTTATCGCCGCGTCACCATCCACTTCATCTCCAGGGAGTCTGTCTCGAGCCAGTTCATCCTCATCATCGTCATCGAGAGTCATCCTAGGCTTTGGAGCAAGGCCTAAATCGGACATTCTAGAAGAACGCTTCTTTTCCTTTTCTGTATCAAGAAGTAATGTTTGACTGCTAGCACGACGGCCCTTGAGTAAGTTGAAAGAGCTACTACGCTTTTTCTGGGGATGGTCAAGCAATTGAGTACTGCTCCTATGTCTATCATGCTTTGGCTTTCCGTAAACTTCTGCACCTAGGTGGCCGGCGAAGGCATGGTCTGTAAATGCGCTGACCGGTGCGTGTGCGGACGCGTCAAGAATGCTGTCCAACGTGGCCACCGCCGATTGTTCTTTCATTTCGACGGTCTGAGGTGGTGCCTGAAGGTCGAAGAATGTGCTTGCTCTCAGCTGCGGAGGTAAATGTGTCAAATCTTGTGTATGTCTCCTTCCGCCCATGGTGGCTCGCTGATGCTGTGGTAGGTATTCTTGTGATTGTACGCCCTCGTCTCCTACCAGATGTGGTTCGTCCTCCAAAACATCTGGTAGCCAAATCGCAGATTGCCGAGCCGCCGCTGGAATGTTGCTCATAACTTGAGACCTTCGTTTATTTCTTGCCATGGCAGATGGATTTTTAGACAGTTTCTGGGGTAAGTTAAGCATCATTGGTACAGGTGCCGGGTAGTAGACCATCTGTTGACCTGTACTTGGATCCGCATATGATTGTGGCCGTGCCATTGAAAGTCTGTTCCCAGACGACACTCTTCTTTGCGTAGCTGGCATCAATAAATCATTACTCGACATGGACCTTGAGTGTAATGGCGGTTCGGGTGACGGTACTTGTGACTCTTGTTCCTCCGTCTCTTGCGGCACATCTTCAAAATCAAAATGTGCATGGAAATTATGGATAGGGGCTTTTGGTGGTGGTGGAAGAGGTAGGGGTTCTTGAGGCAGATAATCGGTATGGTCTCCATCGAATCCTTCAAACATCGCTTGTTCGTTTGAGGTGTATGTCGATGTCGCAGTAACCGGTCGTTGTTCGTATGGTTGGGGATGATCTACTCTTTCAGCGTGATTGAATTGGTCCACCACCGGTCTCGTAAGAGTCGTAGACTCCTCGTCTTGTTCCTCGATCGAAATCGACCTATCCAAAACCGGGGACGTTGGAACGTAGGAGGGAGCAGAACTCATCAATGAATCCAGGGGTCGACCCTCCATCTCTGGCTCCGGGCGTGAGCCAAATCGTGAACTTTTCGAAGCAGATCGCATTCTTCCTGCTGCCGTTATCGATCCCTTTGGCGACATCATGAAGCCTCCAGGCGAGTATCCCCCTGATCGTGCCGCCGAATTCACTTCCACAATTGAGGATGCATTTGACATTTGCCTTGAAATTCCTGCCATCTCTGGAACCGATCCTAACGAGGACCTGCGACTATCCGAACGTTTCTGCTCATCGTGAAGTTCCTTGATGGCCAGGTCAATTGACGAAGTCATGCTCAATCGTTCTGCGGTTCGCTCCAGATGCTCAATATTTCCCACGTATGCCCCTTGTAATACCTGCAAATCGGGAGTCGGGTGTCTCAAGGCTGGTTTTCGGCCAGACGCTGTCCGTACGATGGGGGAAGTTGTTTTTGACGGTTGGGGGTTCGCAAAGTCAGCAGCTGTGGCTGGAAGGGGGCGGACTCGTGGAAGGGGTCGCGAGATGTTTACTGGTGGTAACGGTGCTCGTGTCTGTGGTGATGAAGATCCGCTTGCAGGAGCAGAGGCCAGGATCTTTTCGAATGAGAAGGCAGGCGAATTGGGTGCATCGTCTGCGAAATCGTCGTTTTCTACCATGTCGTAACTCCCACTCGTGTTGGTGTCGCCTCGACTTTGATCACTCAACGATTGAACCATCTGGCTGAGTCCATTTGGGCTAGGAGAATTGCCTTCTTCGTGAATGTAACTCGTATCTGGGGCATCCAAAAATAGCGATTTCAGGGCAGTCCGCGGTGGCGCGAACACCGGAGAAGCGAGAGGTCGATGCGAGTGATCGTGCGCAGGCGAGGAATTGTTGGAATGGGGATCTTTATCTGAATCATCGTGGTCGACCTGCTCGAGCGCATTGTATGCTGCCATGTTGGCACAGCGCAGTGGTTTGCGCGGGCGGTAGGATCGGATGACACGATGATGCGGTCGGTTGCTGTATTGATGTTTTGTTATTGTTGTTGCGCTGATCGAGTAGTTCTCGAACCAAGTAAGGTTATACCTAGGTCGACTCGCAAACAACTAGGAAGGGCCGAGGAGGAAGCTTGAAGAGGGAAATCTTCACCAGAGGTAATCCTTTTGAAAGAGTGTTATTCAAACCGGAAATCGAAGAAATCGAGTCAGACGCTGGGTGACTGGCGTCCTTTTGTCTGGCTGATTGTTAACGTTAACCTTAACGATCCTGTATCAGTCATGCAGCCAAATGCCGCCGTCGATGGATGTCGGCTTCAAAATGACATCGACAGAGGGTCGGACCGAGGAGGAAGAGTAGTAGGATGGGGCACGCGACAATAACCTCAAAACAACAACACCCATCTCACGAGCTTCTCCTCTCAACCTTATATTTACATTCACACTTTTTCCCTCCACATCTTCTGCGGCCTGCGACGATCAAGGGTTCAAGGGTGCATCCCAGACGAGCAGATAGATTGGTTGCAGGGCAGCAGCAGACAGCCATCCATTGATATCAAGGGAATATAAGTACATTGCAGCGCAGATTGCAGTCGACGCCGTGTGCCATTGAAGACCTCAGGTGGTTACAGACACTATCTTGGGAGGCAGATACCAGCAGATACCAGAGATTAGCAGTCTGCTTCCATCCACACCACCAAGAAAGTCGCATCTTTACCCTGGAGAGTATCCCGAGAATCGCTGTTGGCGCGGAGGATATTGGGTACTTCCGCACAAGACACACGATGCTTGCAACTGCTGAGTTTCTGACGGACCACCACCAGTCTACTTCTGCATCTATCGGTTCAAAGCAGACTTCGTACTTCTTCAGCTCAAGTGCCATCTTCAAAACCCACTCTGCCACATGGCAGATGCCTTTTCGAACCATCGACTGTTTTGTTTCACTCATCTCGAAATCCTCTCGAAATCTTCCGCCTATCTCTGACCGTGGCCCAATTCGGACGTCGATATTAAATTCTTCAAGGAATCGGACATTTTCTCAGCCAACAAACGCCATCATGATTGCGCAGTGCGCGCAGGTACGGCTTTTTCTACAGTATGAACAACAACTTCTGCATCAGGACACTAGATAAGGTCTGCTGGTCGATGGCACAGCCTGTCCGAAGAGCGAATGCCAATAAGTTGAACAACTCGACAAACTCAATTGACTTTGACAATCTCGGTCACACCCACAACATCAGGTCGAGACCGAGATGGATCACGAGTTGGTGCGCCTATCCATGTGCCGCGCTGGAGGTCAGTGGTCAGTCTACGTCAGAGTCTAAATTTGTTTGTTTGAAACATTTCGTCTGAAACTTGGGAAAACTTCTGAGACTACTGATTTTCTGTATCGATTTTGCAGAAACGTTCCAGCGTATCGGTCGAGAACTGACCTTGCCTATTCATCTTCTTAAATCGCACGATTGCGATATTCTCACCACGCCATGTCCAAAGAAGCCTTCGTTGCACCTCACGCGCTGGCCACGAGGTGGCTCTTTGACCTGCAGCTGAGCACTGCTTCTATTTCACTGTCACAGCTTTCTCAAGGTACAACAGCAGGTCTCTAGGTACGCATGTATCGACAGCCATTCTCACCTCTATGGTACTCGAGTCTCTCGTCAGCTCCCAAAACACATGTGTATCAGTCAGACTTCGCTACCGAATGAACTTCATGGACGAAGACATCTGGGCAACGCTTACCAAGCTACTACCCATCCGCTTCGAGATATTACTCATGGCAAGGTGTAGGTACTCTTCGGCCCTTCGTAGTTTTTACTCTTCTCTGCTTTCCTTATCGCAAGTCTGTATGAAACAGCTTGCTGATGTGAGAAATCCTTTCAATGCCATTCTGCCTTCTTGGGCTGCAGCTCAAGTGTGAGCCAAACGCAGACTAAGTTGTCACGAGTCAAGAACTACAATCGAACGGCATTTCTCACACGTTACTTAACGTATCTTTTATCTATAGCTGACGTTGTGCGAAGCTTCAACAGCTCTGCTTGTGGTTACCAGACGAAAAGTACTCGGAGGTCGCGGTTGTTGAGCTGCAAAGCCGAACAGCGCAGATACCATGCCTAGGTACTCCAGCATCTGTTGTGTTCTGCGATCACTAAGACTTGTACCTGCGTTGAAGATATCGACAAAAACAATTCGATACCGCGGCTCGAAATTCGGTGATGTCTGTTGTACGATGGTGGTGACAAGAAATTCGCCCTCTCGTGCACCAGGTACACATCATCGGTGCTTCGCCTTGAGGTACTGTGAGCAGGAGTTTGCTTGAAAGTCATATTGGTGCGAAAAAGACGAAGCAAGCGCTTCTCTTGGTCTTTAGCAATCGTGATTGAGCTCTAGTCCAATTGATAACCTTTCACTGCGTTTTCGATTGTCGTCAAGTCGCATCAATCAGTGGAAGGGTCTTTTCAGAGGGCGAGCCACGTCAAGGCCATTGCTTTGGCGTTGTGCTTGGTTACAGAGCTTCTTGTGTTAGGATCTTGACTCCTCGGGATTTGTGTAGTACAAGTGGCTCGAGGGCCATCTGTCTAGAGCGAAGAGTCTATTTCAAACATCTACCCTTCTCCCAAGAGCTCCGCCCAAATCGTCTCGAGAGGCTCTTTGATTATCTTACGTGGCTCTGTTTGTGTTAGGTAGCATGATGATTCAATTCGGCTTGGCTGGTGTCACAAAAACGGGCGATGTTGATGAACTCCCACTTCTCGCTGTCCGCGCGGATCAGATCGAGGTTGGAATTCAGGGCTACAGGAGAATTTTCATCCGAATCATCATTGTCTCAGCAGTCAGCAGAGGCGATTGACTAGGCGATGAGCCGTATGGAAGAGAACGTTTCACCTCACCGTGATGGTCTGTTCAAGTTTTCTATCCTAGGTAACAAGCTGTGAGTACTGGAAACAAGGAGTATGGTCAAGATCAACAAAAAGTGCCAGTTCGGTCTCGCCCTGCAAGGCTCATCGCATTGAGAATTCTGAGCCGGATCCAACTAAAAACACTAAATATACATCCGCTCATGCTTTATACTGTGAGTTGTAGCAGTATTGCTGAGCAGGTAATCCTGATGTTTTTATCTCTCAGATTCTAGTCTTCAAACCGTCGCTCCTTTCCGCATATCACAAACGGAAAGGACTTTACCGAAGACTCACATTCACGTGGTGGCGTTTTTTTAGGATGGATACAGAGAGAGTGTCTACGTGTTTCGAATCTGAAGAGGATCAATTTTCAGTAATAGCACTGGATCAAATGTTCGCGAGGGGCGCTTCCTCGTTGGCAGTTTTAGTGAGACTCGACATGGACAGAGTTGACAACTACCCTTACGACTTGTCTCAACATGACCTGTTATGGACTATGCCGTACTTCTGCTTCTATTTAGTACGTGGAATTTGCTCGATTCCGCTCGGAATTTGGGAAAGGGACTCTATTCCATCGTTTCGATTAATGCACCTTGGTACTATTTCTCTGAACGCGCGTTTTCATGCAGCAAGTCGTGAAATCGGTCATTTAGAGATGCTGCAATGGGTTAACTATCGGCGTAGTCAACAATTTTACCATATGCCGCGGAATACAGAGGTACCGGTCGTTGTTCTAACGGATGTACGACTCGTTGTAAATCCGATTGCCAAATCCGAACCCGAAGCGAGATTTTATATATCAACAGTACTAACGTCGCAAGAACTCAACACTTCAACCCAACATCTCAACTCACAATCATACTTCAAACCCAAAACCAAGTCCCACCCCCCCAAACCAATCCAACCAATCCCCCGCCAAAATGCCACCAATCCAATTCGGCATCCTCCTCATCCCCTTCCAAACCCTCGATGTCGCCGGCCCAACCGACATCCTCTCCTCCACCTCAAAACCCTACCTCGAAGCCTTCACCAAAGCCGGCCTCTTCACCCAATACTACACCTCCCCCACCTCCCCCGCCTACCTCTCCATCCCCGCGCGCGCCATCGACATAGAATTCCACCACATCGCCGAAACTCTCTCCCCCGTCCCCCTCACCTCCGGCTTCCGCGTCCTCCCCACAACCACCTGCGACGATGCCCCGGATCTCGATTACCTGCTCATAGGCGGCCCTGACCCCGCAACTTATACGCTTAGTGAGAGGTTTGCGGAGTATGTGAAAGAACATGTGAAGAAGGGGAAGGGGGTATTTACTACGTGTACGGGGGGATTGATTATTGCGCCGACGGGCGTGCTGGATGGGGTGAAGGCGACTACTAATCATGTTTGTCTTGAGATGGCGAGGGCGCTGAGGCCGCAGGTGGAGTGGGTGGGTGAGCAGTGGGTTGTTGATGGGAGGGGGGGGCAGTTTTGGACTGCGGGGGGCGCTTGCGCGGGGATGGATATGTTCGCGCAATGGGTCAAGGAGAGATATGATGCTGATATCGTGCGCTTAGGCCTTGAGAGTCTGGATTTCAGACCAAGGGGCTTGGATGGGAAGGCGGTTGTGCATGAGTGGGAGGTGTGAGTCTTGAGACAGAAGAAAGGCTTGGATGCGGACGTAAGCCGCAAATGCTGAATTTGATTTCTGATTTTTTGGGGTATTTGTTTTAGTTAAATCGTACCGGTCGCGAGGATTTCTTGTACTCGACACCTTGAGTGTGAGTGGAAATCTGTCGAGAAATTTTATCTTTCAAGAAAACCCAAAGGCTCTTTGATCATCACTGAGGGGTACCAGTATAACTTCTGATGCAACTGGTAAACCCCGCTGCACGATCAAAATACCCGTAACCTGACACCTCTCGTTGGAAGTTTGCTTATTGTATCTCTTTTTTGCGGAGGGCCGGTGGCTAGCGCAGAATAAGTCATGTCAAACTTTTTTTTTTTTGAAGGTAATGTTCACATCACATATCCATCTCAACCCGCCGAAATAGATCAATAAAAAGAGAGCCGAGCTTTAAAAGGATACTTTAGTGTTGTAATAATGGGTTAGGGGGGGTTTTGTAAGTGTGTAAGAAGGGGTATTTCGTTTATTAGAAAATGAGGTGTGGGAATGAGATAGGGTGGTGTGATATGGTAAGGTGTTTAGGAGAGGTAGATTAGTTTATTATATCAGAGTAAGGTGGTGAATTGGGTTTTGAATGTGTTGGATGTGGAGGTCTGATGTGGGAGGTGTGTAGGACGTGATTTTGAACCGCGAGATGCCAGATCTAAGCCGAGAGAGATGTTTTGGGCGTGGGTTGTGGGTTTTTTAATGGTGGTGGGTGTGAGTAGGGATCGGTTTAATTATAATCGCAACTATCTTACGACTTAGTAATCAACCAGTACAACCCCTTATAATTAAAGAAGTATCTAGTAAAATAATTACAAATTAAAGACTCTTAATCTTGATTCTTAGTAGTATATATAATCACGACTTGAGATAAAGTAGGAACTCTAATACCTATTATCTATAAAACTTACTATACACTCTTAAACCTAACTAAGCATGTCGGTAGATCCGATATTTGGTCAAAAAAATAAAATAACTTTATTCTTCTACTCCAATGTACATAATCATCATACACAGTGATTATGATTAAAAATTCTCGAAATCAATCGTGAGAGAGTACTTTTTTTGTGGAAATGAGGGGTGAGTGACAGGCTTGAGGAGTCCTAGGTGTGTGCGTTCTGCGCCCTTGTGTTAATGGAGGATGGGATGTATATCCGACACCAAAACCCTTGACGAAACTCGAAGTTCGGACCCGGGATTGTTGGGTCAATAAGTCGGAGATCGATGGATTGCTGAATCTATCTATGTGGTACGAAGCCGATGACTTGGTACGTACGGGGACTCTACTGTAGTGGCGATAAGGATATATGACGATGATTAGATCGTTGTTGTAGTCCACAACGTCTTCGAAGTACGGATCTTTTAGGTTGATGCTTTGAGATGATGGACTGGTATGCGGTATATTGATCTAGGTGCTTCCTAAAGAGGGCATTGTTAATTCAGAGCACGCATGTTGCAGCAAAACCTCTGGCACAACTAGGTAGCGTCAAATCCAAAACCTTATGTCGTGATTTCTTCATTTTCCACTTTTTCTCCGGGTTGTCGTTTTGACATTATCTCGTCTCTCCATTTTCTAGTCTCTCTTCGTCACTCAACCACCACATCCCTTCTCCCTTACCTGTTCCTCCCATTCATCCCTCGGCCCAATCATGTCCTCTACAACCCCCTAAACCTTCCGCCAATCCGTCATACACCTTCCCACACACCCCAATCCCGCCACATCCACAACCTTCTCATGCCAACTAAGCAGCACGCTCATCGCCGCACCACTACTCTCATTTGCAGCTCCAGGACGAGCTCCCATTTGGGAGAAACCGCCGGTGGATGGTTCGGGCGCTTTAGTGCGGGTTGTGGGGGCGGCCATGCCTTTGTATCTGGGGAGTCTTAGATTTGAGGAGGGAGAAGGGGGGGAAAGAAAGGGGGATTAGAGGGGAGGGAATGGGGGAGAGGGACAGTGGAGGGGAAAGAGGGAGTGGAATATGAGAGGGTATGGTTAGGGAAAGATAGAACGTACAGATATTTCATAAGAACATCCAAAACATCACTTCCCCCCTCCGTCTGAAAGATTCTCTGTAGCATAGGCGTCATCTCACTCGCTTTAATCGACTGCAAAACCTCCGTGACGGTTTGTAAATGGATTTCCTGTTTTAAATCAGTCCTATTCCAACCCTCCCTCTCCCTTCCCCTCTTCTCCCCATTTCCCCTCCCTCTTCCCTCTCCCCCCCAGAAAACAGAAATATCTCACCTTAACCCCCTCCTCCCCCCCATAAGGCGCCCCCTCCAACGCCCCCCTCAACGCCCCCTCCGCATCTCCACCCCGCAATAACTGCCGCACCTGCTGTCCCAACCCACGTATCTCGTTCTCATCCACGGGCGCGAACGCCGGGTGGAGGGTTGAGGTGTCGAAGTTCGAGGAGGACTCTGGGTCGAGGAGGTCGATGTTGATGGTGCGCCAGTTGTCCGAGAGGGAGGCGGTGGTTACTTGTTGGATTATGGACATGGTGGGGTTTATGTGGAATTGGGCGCGCAAGGTATGAGCAGGAGCTGGGTGCGGTGCGAGGTGCAGTGTTTTGAGGGAGATTGGGGTTTGTGGAGTAGAGCGTGAGTATGAGAATGATTGTTGTTGTGTGTTTAGCCCTGTTGTTGTCGTTTACAGAGCTTCCGAACATCATCAACCTCGATATCCAACCTCAACCCACCACACCGCCAAGCCTCCATCCTCCATCCCACCCCGCTCCGCCCCTCACCCTTCCGCTCCCCTTCGAAACGCGAAACTCACCCCCACGCCCTCACCAAACCCCCCAATAACCCACCATCCACACCACTCATGCAACCCGATAAGGGGCTCCATCCATCCATCCATCCAGAACCAGCAAAAAAATAAACGGTTTCGTCCCAGGACATCGGGTCGGGGCTTCTTTGCATGATTCTAGAATTACAAAATTTCCTATTTATTTAAACACATTCAAATCGAATCATACAGCAAACAAACTAACCAACTCTGGGAAAAGCACTCGGTTAAAATTACATCTCCATGAAAAAGGTTGCAACACCAAACAAGGTCCATGATGACATGGCTGCCCACCTCACTCTTCCTTTTGGCATGACACGGGGTGGCATGGGGAAAAACGGGGCGGTATCACGCACGCCAGGGGGGGAGGAGAGGACGGTTTAAAATATCCCTATCCATTTAGCTTAGATCCGTTTTTTTTCTTAGTATGACATGTATCTTTCGGGGCTTTGCTTTTTTATTCGGGTCAGAAAGTTGTTCTTCGGGGACGGCTGGGAAAAGGAGGTGGGATTGATGCCGAAACCTGGTTTGATGTGATAAGTCGGATGGATGTATTGAGGGGATTTTGTGGGAAATTATTAGTCCTCATTTGGGAATTGGGATTTGAGGATGGTATGTCATAAACGATGATGGACGGCAAAGACAGAGAAAGTGGTTTTGAACCAAACAGACTATGATATAATTAAGGTATCTCTCGCAATACTATTAAAACCCGTAAATATCTCGCTCACAATTCCGCAAAAAGAATTCCCAGGTGTTTCTTTTGCTATCCCTTCCTTCCCAAATTTTCCCATGAACTCTCTGCAGAGTATTTCTTCTTCTCGTACAAGTCTATGATGGGGTATAAGAAATCCGTCTTTTGTCGCTCGCCCAAACTGCTTTCGTTCAGGATCCAGCCCCGAGGATATTCGAGGCAGAGGGCCAGAATCTCTCGCATCTGATGAATCTTGCAAGGGAATAAAGCAGAAGATGGCAAAAACAGATACACAAACGACTACAGTAGAGTACAAACAGAGTCTTGGAGAAATAGAAGACAAAAGCAGAGGTAAAAAATGCTAAAGCAGATAAAGCAGTCAACTATTCCATATCCTATACAAACGGGAGGAACGAAACATCCGTGGGGATGTGAATTCGTTCCTCAACTCCAACCAAGCGTGCTTTGAAGCAGAGTGTAAAGTGTAAGCCAAAAAACCAATACGAAAAACAAAAAAAAGCAAAGTCTATATGCGCAAAATCCAAAAATTCAAATATCTTTTCCCATCCAATTGCCCAGTTTTATCCCGAAAATCCCAATTTTTATGTAGCCCCCAAGGAAATAATAGGAATACCAGATGATGATGATGGTACAAGGAAATAATGAACGCCTGGTGCGAAAGAAAAGTGAAATCGCTAAATGGTGTCCCAAATATGTGTACACAGTTCCCAGATAAGTCTAGATGCAACGCCGGGGTTTTTCGCTCGAGTGATCACAAAATATATAAATACAAGGCCAGGCAGTGACGAGCTGCTATAGCACTCTGTGTGATGTTTTGCGTGTGTGTTCTCGCTCTTCGCCGGGCGCGATGGGGTGGTCGATACCCGAGGTATGGTGGCTTGAGGGCTCGAGATGACCAGTCGATTGCGACGCTTCTAGTTGGAATGTGGGATATTGGGTGTGGGAAATTTGAATGAGAATCGTCGCAAGGTCGTGGCATGATAATGTACAGGAAGCCGATGTTTGTGATGATGGGTATTAGAAGGTTGGACTCGCGAGAGCCGCTATATCAGAAAGTGTAAAAATATGGGTGGTGTTGAAATCGAGAATCGCTCGTTCGACGCTGGGGTATCATCGGGGCCCTGCGGAAGTTGTGTGTGAAGCTGGTTCGGGGTTGGCTTGTGGTCGGTTGTGGATTCGGTGTTGAATTGGACGATCGAATGCGCTTTATCGAGGCTTCGGTGGAGGAGGTTTAGGAAGATCCGTTGTATCGTAGGCTCCACGGCCCATGTTAAATGATTGAACTTCGGTGGAAATCATCATGTCGGTTGGATCTGTAGACGGATATTGTGTTAGTCTCTCTTACTTATAAATGAAACTTGTTTCCAGCGCGTATTGCCACAATGATTGCCATTGTCTCTTGAGTTTCCAAGGATTGGAAACAAGCAAAGGGTCTGACTCACGTATTATATCGTTGCGATTGTTGCTTGGATGAACAGGGCCCAATAGGGGAGTTCCGAGTGATAGTGACAAATGAACTTTTGCTTTGGCCAAACACGTTTGTAATGAATGTTGCTTTCTCTCTTTTTCGATCAAACCGCGAAACTTTCCAAACTGTTTCTAAACTTTTATTGAATTGCTGACGGTCGGACAGGACTTATTATTGAATTTCGAAAGACCAGGTTGCTTTGACAGGTATGCTGAAACTTTGTAACAGGCGCTGCGACGGCGCGATGGGAGCTGGGACCTTAATGCAGCACTAAGATTCGTGCACCGTCTTGGAAGCCGACCGATATAGATGCGGCAGGCTGCTGTTGTGTCTGCGTGAACTGGTGCTGCTGGTGAGACGGGGCGGATGATGATAGCAGAAGCCCGGATTGGATAACCTGTCTGAACTAAAAGTGCTGCGAGGGTGGTAAAGTGGTTGCAGGACGCGAGGTCTAAGTACGGTACAGCGTTGCAAGCTGAGTGGTCTGAGTGAGCACGAATAGATGGTAATGTCCAGAATAGGGAGGTTGAGGATGTGAGTAGCTCTCTCTTTTGCGGCGAGGATGAGATGGACTTTTTTTCTTTCTGTGCGAACGAGGCGAAGGGGATTTAGTACTTTGGAAGCAAAAGATAACTTTGGTTGTGCGAAGGGGGTTTGCCATGTCTTATAGTCATAGTAACAAAATGAGTGCCAGTGCGAACAAGGGGGTGATCTCTCCTTGGGGGTTACTCGCTGGTGGCCCGGCGACTGGGAGCAGGGCAGGCCACACTGCTGCTGGGATGGTGATGCTGGTCGGCCGCGGGACTAGGGGAACACGGAAGGAAAAAAAGATAAATCAAAATGAGATGGTCGTCCGTGGCTCCAAGAAATCATCATCATGGGGACCTAGAATTATCAGGTACGACTATGGTTGTTGGTCTGAGCAGTTTTATAGTTTGGCTATGAGCAAGTCAGGGCGAGGAACGTGTTTAGACGAGCAGTGGAGGTTGCTTCTAAAACCGTATTGTCAAGCTGGCGGCGCGCCGTCAGGCAAAATGTGGTAAAAATAAAATAGATGGTTGATGTGATAGGGTTGTGCACATCCAACGTGGAAAAGGAAAAAGGGGGTGAACGGCGGAACGAGAGCAGTGACACAACCGGGCATTGAGGATCACCACCGAAAGTGCTGATTGTGGGAGATGAGGGCAGATCACACTCAATCTAATGAAAACGGGACATTTTGGATGCCCCACTCGAAACATTATGTTTGTCTAGTGCCCTCTCATTGCCGCAAGGAGGCACGAGATAGTCCACTCTAGAGAACGAGACAGAGGCGCGAAATTGCAACTTGTTTTACCAAACCGTTGGCCCATGGGATCTAATTTTGCAACCGTACATGAGAGCTGCATAGAATGGGCTTGCAGAAAGGGAAGTATTACTCAGATCCAACTCTGCATTCTGCTGCACAATGACCTGTGCATGCTGCAGATGTGAATCACGAGAGATCAGCTCTGGAGAGTAGGTGCTCAATATTGACTGCTAGTCAAGACCTGCATTTGGGCACTGTTGGCTACCAGAAAGACCAGAGAAAGGGGCAAGCAGTTCAGAATACCAACTCCAGCCACAAAGTTCGAACCAACAAATTCAAATTGAGCACGGCGTCCGCTCCTGGACTCGTTATTCCGGTACATTAACTGCAGTTCCATGTGCTAGGATGACCGTCAGAATGACCCGGAAAGGTCATTACTGAGTCCCGGGAGTCCATACAAGAGGCGCAAAGAACACTAGAGAGGTTTTGCAGATTTTGGGATTACTGTTTAACTTCCTATTATAGTTTAGCGCTATAGTTTCATGTAATTTATACTTTCTCTCTTTCGGAGCTCCGATAGAACTTTATAATCCCAAAATCGCGTTTGAGACTATATAGTCCTATGGGATTTATTTGGGATTAAATCTAATCGTCCTAATTAAGAAGTTATTCGGGTCGAAATAGTCTCTTACGCGCTAAATGACGAACTAAGTCCTAAAAGCTGCAAAACCTCTTATTTTGAAAATGATCATAATTATATGACTCGTAATCATGCAATCATAATCCCATAAGTTGCAAAACCTCTCTACTGGTTTCCTTCCGTGGTTGCAGTTGTGCTCCGTCTGTTCAACTGCCCTGGTGCGGCGTTGCTCACAGTGTGCATTGCTCGTGGAAGTCAAGGATGTCAGTTCCTCGCGGTCCTAAACAGGCTAGGTTAATAGCATAACGGGGGGAGAAACGAATTGCTGGGCAGAGGCATATGGAAAAGGGGAGCAAGGGTCGTGACACCGCGAATGGGTGTGGGAGGGTTCATCAAAATCCACTCCCAACCCAGCGTCTACAAAGCTTCCAACCTTCTGCGTGTTCCACGAGGCAACGAACCGACATCCACACCTTCCAGAATCTCAACACAACGCACGGCCGAGAGGCTCACTAATGTTTCAGTCACCTCGGCAGGTGAAAGGGGAGGGCCGCTTCCGCCAACACACTAATCCCGATAACTATGCAGCGGCTCGCTCTCCGAAACCTCATGAAGGTTGGACCAACTTGGCCACACCATCAACACCAACAGAAGCAGATAACGATGCAAAAAAAGCAGAAAGATGCCAGAATCGAAGCACAAGCACCGTGAGCAATATCTCAGGGCATTCGTTAGGACCACCCTCCATCGGGCATCTATCATATCATGGCGTAATGCGAGCTGAACAGGTAAGTGTGAAGTGCGACAAATCATGAGCGAAATCAACAAGCTGCCAAAGCAATAATTGCAAACCAGCGAATGTTTCTTCTCCCCCTCTCATCGCCTCAAGTGGCGCTCCCATCCTCCTAGGCTCCCACAGCTATTACACGACAATGGCGAGAAGAGAGCGAGTAATTACCGCGCCTCACCAGGAATTTGACCGTTCGGACAGACTGGCTCAGCTTCTTGTGTTTCCTGTACCTTGATGCCCTATTATTGGAGGGGCACGTATCGCAAAGAGCGAGTCATACTGACTGTTTAAGTGTGCGGTACCAGCTACTCCGTACGACACAGATCGAGGAATTAGAAGTCGTCTTGATGCGCCTGACCCAGATCGAGCGCTGTGATTGATTTCAGCGTCACCGTCGCGAACGAATAGCCTCCAACCAGAATGTCGCTGATGCTGAATGGTGTGGTCTCACTGTCGCGTTCACTAATTAGGCTTCAGCGCCGTCGCAATATAGAGGTCACAGTGTTTGAGTGCGCTGGATCACTTTGTTTGATAGGGGTAAGAGACTGGTAGACGAGAGGGTGTTGAGTCGTCGACGAGCTCGAGGAGGCAGATGCTCCGACGATGGCTTGAGGGTTACCAGAGCAGAGGATGAGGGTCATTGAGCAGGGCATGTTTGAGACCGGCTCTTCTCAGCAATTAAGCGAGTTGTGGTATTCTAGATGTTTACCGAGTTCCGAAACCACCCAAACGGTCATCGTTGGCCACTAATTATTGTAATCTTACAAACTTTCTAACGCGTGTGTATATGATGCTCTATGGTCGTTATTGCACGGAAGACTATGCTTAAGACATTGCCTCTTCTTATTATACTTTTCTCTTTAGCTTTGCAACCTACACCACAGCTTCACAGACATTCACTTCAAAGTAACCCAGAACTCATGCCCCTGCCTAGAACTTCGTTGCAGGAGTTCGCTGCAGGCTGTACCTGACATTAGCGCATACCGGCATCTCAGTCGAGCCCCGGCTTGGGCGTCGATCGTACGGAATACGCAAATCTGAATTCTGACAGCGGACGCTCGCAGAAAAAGTCTCGGGGAGGAGAAGATTTTCCCAAAGAGGTTGGACATCAGCGCCGAACTTCATCACAAAAGGTAGATGCTCGAGACAATCGTCAAAGAGCTTCGTTCTTTTCGCGACAGATGTTTGATGAAGAGACAAGCCCCGGGAGAACCAATCTCTCAACCGATGTGGCTTTACGAAGAATCTGGGGTCCAAAAGCCAACTCATCTGGCCGGCCATTGAGGACTGCAATTTGCAAGTCTGTCACATATTCTCTCATACGCCTTCGTCGAGACTTGTTTCTTCTCTTGAAGCCCAGCAAGTGTAAGGTTCTACAAATGATCAACAATCCCTTTCGATCGCCAGTGCATGAGTGACCGAGGCCTTGGAGACGGCTTCACGCATTATTGCCATGGGATCGGTGCGCGAAAAACTTTACTTGCTTTTTCGCAAGCCTGTAAAACACAATACTCACTCTCCCTCCCGTCTGGAAAGTTTCATGGAATCCTGATTTCTGACCAGTCGTCATCTTGCTCGTAAAGCAAATGAATAAAAGTTTGTTCGCTTGAAGGAGCGCGTTTGCATTGCCGCAGAGCAACACTCCCACACTACAAGGTCATGCATGGCGGTAAACTTCACGCTATCATTCTCTAAACTGGCGCTCTCGTAGCGCTTTTATGATATGATATTGCTATAATAATATAGTCACACATGCGACATGGTTGGAGTTCAGGCACAGGACGGCAAAGATCTACTCATTTGACGTCGCCCTCCTCGTCTATTACCCTTTCGGAGGCCCCCGTGGTGTCTCGGTTATTCGAAATATCATCGTTACCAGCAGCTGCCGGCTGAGCGTCTCTGGTTCCTCCCATCTTCCATGCATTATTACGTGCAAGACTCGTACATGTGTCCTTTGACGCTCGCGTGGAAGGCCATCGACGGTCCGGCAGCTGTTACATCCATGCTATCGAAGCTGGATGGAAGCCATATCGTAGGACCCGTTGACATGCAAGAGAAGGTTCTCTCCCGTCGCACTGGAACAGTGTCTTTCGATTGAGTAACCTTTGACGCTTCCTGCCTTCTTCCAGAGCGACGGTTTGACGCAACTGGATCCGACTGGGTTACCACTGGGGTTTGATTCCGCTGGAACTCCCAAGTGGGACAGCATGCAGGGTCGCCCGTTGAACCTGCATTATTTGGGTCTTGGGCTTGGGACCGTTGCACTACTAAACCTAAACTGGAATCTTCATCCAGAATTTGTGCGTTTTGTAATGTTTGTGGTACAGAAGAACTTGTCTCGGTGGTTGTACATTGAGGTGCGAAGTTCAGTACTCATTACAAAAGCTGGATACTGTACCTTTTCCGGCGTCTTTGGCCTTCTTCTTTTCCACTTCGGCGATGTGGCAGTCGTCATCACTTTAGCCTGCCAGAAATTGTGATACCAATTTCTATACGTTCCTTGAAGGCACTTCATTTTCTGTACCCTTCCGAGATTTGCTCCGACGGCTTCAAAGCCTTCGTCTGCAGCCACTCTGGAAATATTTGTCCGTCACACCACTCAACAGCTTTCAAGTACCGAAACCCACTCATCGACCCAGCAATTCACGTCCACAGCCTTGCACGATGCTCCGAAGCGAGGTATCAAAAGTTGCAACGACCTTCTCTCCCAAGGCAACGGGCACCGCCATCCTCTTTCCACCAGCCAATCTGCCGTTCCACGGTTCCACTTCCACGGTTGCGTGCACCTTCCTCGTCCGTCAGGGCGCAAAGACAACCCCAAAATGGGAGTGAGAGCGAGAGAAGGCCACCAAACCTTCTAAAATTGTTCCACGAGTGTTCTACCGAGACCCTTTCACACTTCCAAGAGGGTTATCCTGGCTCCCTATGACCCAGCCAAGAGCCACAACACGAATGCTTGAGAAACGTCGCTCCGCAAACTCTCCTCGGATTCAGAAAGGAGAAGGGTCCCGTTCATCTGATTCAGGCGCTCAGGGGTTCATCATGGGCAACCCAAGACATCCCGTCACCGGCTTCTGTTCCGAGAGTTTGGGCCGACCGCACAGGCTCTCATGCAATCTCCGTTCTCTTTCAACCGATCAGACGGGATACCCCCGTAGTTATTTCATTAAGCTGACGATCCGGAATATATTGTGTATCGGCTCGAGGCAGATAGGGATCATCTCTGTATGCTGTCCTTGACGTGGTTGAGAGAATTTTTCTCACCCGGATTTTATGGTCATCATCTAAGATCTTCCTGAGCTTCTTGGGTCATCCTTTGTCTTCAGAAAAATTCTGACATGAAATACAGCTCCTGTCGAGCAGCCATGACGAGGTAAGTAAATTAAAGCTTCCACCGTAGATCATTTGAATGTGATTCGTAAAAGATGAACGAGCTTGAACTCTGATAGGCGGTTTAAATTGCCCAAACCAGGCATGACATGTCGAATCAGCAGAAGTGGAAAATCGCTCGATTGGTCTCTCGAAACGAAACACATCCACAATTATGCAGTTTACCGGCCATCGCCTTTTGTCGTTTGTTTCAGCGTTCCCTATGGGGAGAGGGACGCACGTGGGGGTGGAGTGGGATCTCCCTATCTAGGTTTTGCTGGGACTTCACAACCATGAAAGGGGGCAAACTTGAAAGAACCGTTGGATTTGATATCACGTGGATGTTTGGTTCTTTGAGTTCATCTCAAAGTGAAATGTGGTCTCGTTGTGCATCGTGACTTTCTCTGTCAATAGCCGTCAAGAGCCTATTCGTTATTGAGATGCTTATCAAAATCACGCCAATAAGAATCTAAAACCCTCAAAAGGCTCGCTCAAGATGATATCGCCACCAGAATCAGCCCTCTTCCTTTCCGCTTTTTGTTGCATGTCGTAGATAACCTTAATGTGCGGAACGGAAGCGGAACGTAGCCGTCAGCATTCAAGTAGAATTCAGGATGCTGATCATGTCGTTGTCTCAAAATGCTGGAGAGAAGCATATTTCAGTATGTATCTAGTCATTTGTATCATTCATTATCATGACATGATTCGTCAAGATGTAGGGGTTCGTTGTTCTATCTATTAAACTTGATTGGCCTTCATCTGGAGATTTCAGTGCTTCCAGATATCGGATGGAGTTTGTAGGGCTATTGCAATTGTTTAGGTACAAAATATTACTGTATCAAGTTTGTTGTTCGGTATTATTTGTACACGCTTGATTTCTACCTCGATCGTTTCATTGATCGATACAGGCTGGATTCTTAAGGGCAACATATTCGAAGCCGGTTGACGAGAGTGAGTGAGGATGAGAAACAAGCTCCAAGCCAAATATTAGTAACCTCAAATAGCCCAGAATTCTAGTGCTGCGAGTCTCATATGAGCTAGAGTTTCCAACGCTCACGTTGAGATAAGTCTCTCATCTCACAATAAGAGCCCTATGAGAAAGGTGAGATAACTAGGCAAGAACTAGGTCAATGGCTGAGTACAATTCCTCTGGCTTGTTGATGAGAGCATTAGCCCTTGGTAAATGCAAAAAGAGACACATAATTTCAACGAATTATAACCCTTTAATTTCTCATGTGAGAAAGAACTCTCGGGTTCCACGGGTGTAGGTTCACAGAGATATTGCATGCCGACCTTATTACTTCGGTTTTCAAGATTTTAAAGAATGATTACAAGAGCAGCTTGAAAATATCAATCAGCATTTTTCGTATTCATTGTTACTTTTTCCTTCATGATATATCTTCTGTGCGAAGAAATTTGCGCGTCTAATTCGTTCGGCGCGGCCCGCGATATCACAACCACCACCTTTAAAGCCTAACTTCGTCATCATTTCAATTCCCCCAAACAGCCACTCAGTTTACAAAACCATAACTGCCAAAAGAGACTGTACATTTAGTTTCCAACTCGTGCAACACTTGCCTTAACATCCAAGGCACCCCAGGCCGCAACAAGCTATCAATTAGGTCAAATAGGCAACAACCTGCGAGCCAAGACAAGCCTCATCAACACCTAACAACAAGCCACTCTCAATATTGCAACGAAATTCAAGGTCGCCGATCACAAATAATTCGGTATTCATATTAATCCATTCTGTCTACTCATTCTGGTGAGCTAGGTCCCAGTCATAGATCGGGCTTAGTGGGGGTTGTTGAGGGATTTGCTATTCACCTTGATATATTCCACTTCACCAGTCTAGGGAGCTCGAGTCCTACCTAGGTATTTCTCAATCAGGCACACTAGCCTCTTCTGCCTTAAGCAATATCGGAGGGTTGCCATCAGACCTCGACTTACTGTCGTCGTCTACTTCACAACATCAAATCAGGCCACCATAGCCAGCTTCTGACAGCAGCTTTGTATACCAAGGACCTAAACATATCACGTCTTGACAGGGAAAAGGTTTTTATCTACTGTCAATTTTCACAAAGCAACTCAGAAAGATCGATCTACTTAGACATTGCCTGCGCGCTTTGGAAGGGTTGACTTCACGATGGCAGCTATCAACACCGATGGCCAACGCCTCGAGGTCTTTGGCCTAACATTTAGGGAGCACCACAATCTACACATGCAACAAATATTACGCCAATACAATATTCTACCAGAAGGACCACCAAATCGTGCAGTTCTTTTCACGGCACTGTTCGATCTCGCAAAACAGCTAAATGATGACCACAAAGAAGATCAGGTGGAACGCATCCAAAACTGGCTGAAGAATGGTGGAGAGTTTCCGGTCCCACCGCCTCCTCCATACACAGCTGCAGCTCCTGATGAACATGATTCAGACCACAATGCAGAGGTTGCGATTGAGGAAGATGAATTGATGGGCGGGTATCATACTAGACTCACAAATATGTTGGACGAGCACATGAGCAAAACATCCAGCGAGCCTAGTCCAAATGGCCATGGCCAGGACCAAGATATGGAATCTGGGAACATGTCCGACGGGGAATGGCCTGAGTATCGGCCGGCCGACTTCGAATCCTCAAATCAATATCCAGGACCAAATAACCATTCCCAAATTGTCAACCCTGGCGTATCATCCAATGAGCTCGCCGATGCCCAAAGAGAGATAGATGCAGAGCCCACTATCATCAACACGAATGAGCCACAACAAGAAAACCCACGTCAAGCTCCCCTTGAAGGCAATTCATCTGGTGGAAGTCGAGCGAGACCGAGACCTGTACTTAGACATGCCAGAACCCCCCGAGATCGATTCAATGGATTGCGTGCTTATTCTGAGCAATCTACCGAGTCGGAAGAAGAATCCAATTCCGATTCTGAAGTTGAGCTCGCTGTTAGAAATGTCCCAGGCAGAGGTGGTCCTAGGGGACGAGGTCGTGGGTATGGTAGAAATTTGCGAAATCCGCGAAATGCGTACATGCGACGACTCCCACCACCACCACCTAACCCGTACGGCACTGGCTATCGACTTGACGGAATTTCAACGGAAGTCAATCGTGCATTGGAGCCGGAGCCAGAAGAAGAAGATCTTCCAGATCAATATCATGACTTGGAACAGGATATAGTCAATTCGGGGTTCGACGTGGATGAAAGAACACATCGGACTCCTGTCGATGAGGGTCAATACGATCAGAACCCGAGAGACAACTATCGTCTAACAGGGCCTGATACTACACAAATCAATCCACCCTCAGATTCAAGTAACAACGAGATTGAATGTGCCATTTGCGCTGAAACTCTACCACCAGACTCATTTCCACCGTCATCAAAGATCACAGCCAATTGTGAGGACCACCCATACAAGGCTTGTATTTCGTGTATCCAACACTCTATCCAGTCCACGCTAGACGAAGGGTCGATCCATAGACTCATCTGTCTCTTCTGTCATCATCGTCTGTCCGCCGATGAGGTTGAGAAGTATGCAACCAAATCTGCCTTGACAAGATATAAGTACCTCATGCTCCTGGACTCACCGGATATCATCATGTGTCTGTCGCCTACATGCAAATCCGGTCAGAAACATGTCGATAAGCAGAATCCAAAGATGGTTTGCAATACATGTTCTTTCGCTACCTGTGTCCTTCACAAACTACCATGGCATGACAATGTCACTTGTGCCGAGTTTGACACCTCGGAAGAACAAATAGAACGCCTCGAAGAAGCTGAAGCGACCGCAAAGCTGCTAGCGAAAGAGCAGTCCCAGATCTGTCCAGAATGTCATCAAGGTGTCTTCCGCTCAGAAGGTTGCGACCACATGATGTGTAAGTGACCTCTCTCTTTTTGAACATCTAGGCCATATTAACGTAATCCAGGTCGTTGCGGCAATGAATGGTGTTTCCTCTGTCTCGCCTCCTGGGAAAACGTAATGCGTCTAGGCGAGGAAGCCCACCATCCAACATGCCAGTACCATCCTCGTCGAGTCCGCCGCACAGCAGCCCAGGAACAAGCGCACAGAGATACCTTCACGAATCTCCTTCACGGTGCTCCAGCTAGCGAGACATTGCTGAAAGCTCGGGATCAGAAGAACGAACGTGTGAGAACTGAAATCAGGGGGAATGCGCTGCTTGCAATTGAGAAGAGAATGGCGGATATGAAAGCTGCTGCTGAGAAGAGGAGTCATGAGGAGAAGATGAAGAATGGAGGTATGGGTGTTAATGGGGAGGGATCGAGGAAGAGAAAACCTAATCTTAAACCTGCTTGGGAAGAGGGAGGGCTGAAGAAGAAAGCTCTTCCCTAGACGCCCTATTTGAACTTGATTGATGGCGTTTTGGATCCGATTGGTGGATTTGTCTGCAATTGATATCTGATCCGTTGACGGCCAACTGTCTAAAGGAGGCGTATTGATCGAAATGATTGTTGGGACAGCGTCTACTTGTGCGGGACATTTATGAATTGGGCAATGAGGCGCGGTTTTGATAGTGTGTCCAACGGTTATTTGTCATCTTGCCATTTTATTTCACGGCATGAAGTGATGAAATGTGGATGGAAATCGACGGGGTCAAGTGTGCCCTCTCCATTTCGGCTTTCTTTGTATAGGGGCAATATAGTCAAGCCGAACAAAAGTACACTTTGCTACCTTTGGGTTCAATTATTGACTATCTTTAAACGAATAATGCGGTCTGTTCATTTCCCAGAAAGAAATTGCTATAGTTGATTTGTAACTTTGTGACCACTATTCAACCAATTCTCTTGGGGAAAGACAGTAGTCCATACAGGACATTGGTCAAGTGAAAACACAAGAGTAGTGAAAAAATCCAACAAATTTAGGTAAATCTTCCTCACCCTTGTGACATCTCATCACTATTTTGCCATACCTCTCTCTGATAAACCGCCTCCTACATGCATCACTGTATCTCGCACTGTCACACAGCACTTATATCACAAATGGTTTACTCACTGCCCTCCATAAATTCATTGCATGCCGTCACTTCCTCGGCGCCGTCACCACGAGATAGGAGATGAACCTCCTGCAATGCAATGCAGAGGAGGCGTACGCTGGAACTCACTCTGATTAGTGAGGTTATTTCCGACAGTGTGGTTGCGGTCCTTATCACTCAGACCCATGATTGGTCATCCGCCAAAATCTACAAGGTTCAAAACACTTCCATAATTTGCGTGCAAGAAATTTGCTTCTTTGGCCGTGAGCGATCAGTGCTTTCTGGACTGTCAATTACTATGCAACAACGGTCATCAAGATTGAGGGAGGGGTTCAGACCTCGGGATGTGAACTTCCTTATCCGCCATCGTGGCTCTATCGGGGGGTCGGAATTGGACGTTTAGCTTCGAAGAGTTATGCCTAGAAAGGAAGGAGCTTAAGTCAGGGATTCCTGTTCCGCTCAGAGGTTTGGTGGTTTTGGCCCGCTTTGTTGCCAGTGTCAGCACTGTATTTCGACCACGAGAAGCTCACAATACCAAGTACAACGCCCTCGAAATACATCTCGGATGTGGTGGGTTTCGTCATGGTCTTAAAAACTTCGCCAAGAGTCTGCCAAGATGGAATCGTGATGGGGTGTGAAAACAAGCTTTTGGAATGATGGATGCACCGTTTGCCGGCTGGTCTGGGCCGCTGGACGGCAGGGCGGGACTATTGATACGAGGGATTTGGGGGGAAGGCAGTTGGAATGAGTGGACGACTCGCATGCGACTGGCTGGAAAGCGGGGGTGGAATAGATATCATATCAATGGTACCATGGACTATGTTTGGCTGGTGGGAAATATCCTTTGGAAGAGACACGAGATCGTGATTGAATAGTCAATATCGTCGAAGAGCTTTCCATATCGGGCAAGTCTTGATGATAGAGGCAAGGATTCAAACGCCG